TGCTTCAAGCGTACCTACCTGGCTAGGTAGGGCTTGCGGACGGACCTGGTAGACTGAAGTAACTAAGGCCGCTTCTGCGACATTCGATGGATTCCATCCTGTTGCCGGAAACCGTTGCTCACCGTTCAAAACCCCAGGCGAATTGGAATCAGATGCTCTTTACAGGACAGTCCCGCTCATGAAATGCGAGCCCAGATCACTCTGGCCACAGCCAGGCCCTGCATTGGATCGCAGTCAATCCAGATCACCTTCACTCATAACAACTCGCGATTCCATCAAACATGCTAAACATCCTCTTCCGCCATCACCCACTCCCTTAGCCCGAGGGTTGCTGAACGACGGTACAGCCACAACTGTCATGGCTTCTTTGCAATTATTTCCCCATCCGCCGGCTCAATCTCGGCGTGCAACTGACATGCACCATGACGGCTGCAGCAGTTCATTCCTGCTCGAGGCTGGTATTGGGCATGCGTCCAGCTGTTGGCGAGAGGTTCGGTAACCAACAGGGGTGGGTGAGGGCATGCGGGTTTCCAGCTTACAGATGCGATTTCACCCTTCCTTCGCGCGACCTTCAGCTGTCTGGTATCCAACATACCAGGCTCACCCGGTCACTTCCAGCTGGCCGCCGAACCTGGGCTGCTCGGACTTTATGCCCCAATGGCGGGGCACTTGACGCCAGTCTCATGGCGGGCACAGTATCCTCGCCATCCCCATTGAGATGACGACATGTTAGACTTCTGTAAGCCTGGAGACCGGAATGGGCAACAAAAGCCCTTTTCCCGAACTTTCCGGATGAACGAGCGGCACCGCCTTGAACCGGTGGGTTCATCGCTGACGCCTAGCTGAGCCACTCAGTAAGACATCTTCCGTCGGTGCAATTGTCCAAAGCGCTGCCCACAACGTCTAAGGAGCAGGATGCATCTCAATTCCTGTCCGAGGTGTTCCGAATCAGCCGGAATGGGGTGACACACAAGGCGCATGGCCTGCCTTTCGGCTGGTTCTAAGGGAATTGACCGTCTTCTGAGCAGCACAGAGAGTTCCGCACAATCAGCCCAAGGAGAACCCAACAGATCTTGATAACCTATAGTCTGTCGGATTCCATTGCCCCCCCCCCCCCCCCCGACCCAGCTCTACGCACATTTCGATATGTCATGTGTTGAGTAGTGCATGACGGCAAATCCAACATCAAGGCCTGAAAAACGTGGGAGACTTACCTCGGGGCTTCCACGTCTCGTTCTGGAGTCCCGAGCACGAGAGCTTTTGGTTTGGTGGGTGGGATTATCCGAGGCTTGAGTGGAATTAATGCTTGTTCGCCGCCGAATGGGCTAGGTAGCTGGCTGAACCCCCCCCCGTCTTTGTTCACCTACTCGTCACAAGAACATGAGGAGGATACCCAAGGTTTTTTTTATCCGCCTTTTGTGACAGCCCTCTTTCGACGCATCTGGAGCAATAGAGCACGCCGCACCGATGAGCAAGGAGGTCTCGGCAAGCTACACCATCGACGTGCAACCGTTGCTAGTTGCCTATTCTACCGGGGTTACGAGGTGCGGCTTCCGAGGATAGAAAATGCCACGAGGTTTAGAGCGGGCCGTCTAGAAAGCAGAACGTCCGATGGTGTCACGGCCGAATCAACTTGATGGAATTCCTGTCGCCCGCGGGAGGGTGGTTGTCGTCGAATCGGCCATTAACGGAAACTTATCGATAGCGGAAGCGAACGCTATTGGAAGGTACACAAGTAAATAGGTAGTGTAGTGTGGCAGCCGCAGCACGGGACATCACATCACTGAACCCTCTCAGATGGTTGTTGGTCTTGGTATGGTTCATCCTCGCTGCCATTTACGATCGACACAGGTTGGGACGGTGAAGAGATGCAACGCAACCCATCGAGCGACCAGCTTATGGCAGACTCTCGGGGTGTTCCCTCTTGTCAGTCTCAGTCTGGTGGAAGGACAGTGTCAGTTGGATGGCAAACGACCACACCCTTCCAGTGAAAAAGCTGGCCACATGACTACACCAAGCCCCCTTCTTATCGCTACGGAACACGGAAATGGTGGTGGTGGTCTCGTGGGGATGAAAGGGCCGCGCCGCTCGGTGCTGGATTGAGGAGATACCAACGCTCTGGCGCCGATTCCGCCTCTCTAATTCCAGAGTCCACCTCTTCCACATCCTACACCTCCTGGTACCGTTAGCTCGCCGCTGCATTGTCGCCATAGCGTGCGTTCCTTCAACGAGCCGGCTCTCCCACCGACCGCTACGTGACTGAGCTGATCACGAGGGGGCAAATCTCAGGTGAGACTACATTACACTATCATACCTCTCTCGTCTTGCCATCTAGGTAATCCCTTCAACCCCCCCTGAACATGGCTGGGACCGTAGCAATTGCGCCGTGTCTTGGTGGGTTGGGTCGGTGGGGATGATGTTCTGTGCCGCTCACACTTGGGTACCTATGACAGAGTAGGTACTTGCTGCTTTCTCAATCCACCCCATGCCCGTGCCCCCGCCAGATGTCAAACGTGTCGTTTTGACCCATCTGCCAAAACACACAGTATTCGCTCCTTCCATACGACGGTGCACTATGCAATTGCGTCTGCCGACGAAGGCGAGAAACTCTACAAGGGACAACAAACAACCCAGCTTCTTGTTCAGTCATGCAGACAAGATGGGAGAATGGGAGGGGCGGGGTAAGATGGCGGTCAATGGGAATGGGAATGGCCTTGAGTTCGAACGGGACCGGACCATATCCTCGCTTCACCTTTGCCCGGCGTCAAGTTCTGGGCCCGAAACTACCTATCAATGTTCTGGCCTGGCTTTGGTCAATCGCGCTGCCCGTCCACCCCCAGCCGTCATCGAGAGACGGAGGGAAGCACCGATAACGACATTCGGGTTCCTTATCACCCCTCCTTTCGGGCTATCTTCTCCTCAAGTGCTCCTGCAAAATGAGGGGCATTCTCACGAGTCACATGTAGGGGTGTGCCCCGCGCGCCCCTCCCCGTCCCCTAACATACAATGTACATCGTAGGTAATATACCATTCGTAGACGAAACGGCCTGCCTGATCCAGCACGTTCGGGCGGGGACTCAGTGGGGGCCAACGGGGGGGCTAGATTCCTTAACAGTCAGTGGCAGGGCAGGACTGCCGGTCGGAAATTCATCTGCTGTGCTCACCCCCTCCCCCTACCAGGACGAATTATGTAGTGCTCATGGCTCATGGCCCATGGCCCATGGCCCATGGAAAGGAGTCAATAAGTTCCTTCATTGCCCTGCCCTGCGCTCATGGAATAGTGGAAAGTTTCCATGTTTGTTCGATGCCGATAAGTGGCTCCTCTGATCCTCGATGGGGGGATGGGGGTATCTCACGGAATGTTGGACGCGCGAATACTCCGCCCAACGAAGGATGTCTTGGCCATGGATAATTGCCTCAACGGATCTAATCTTATCAATCACACCGCTGCCCTTATTCACTTGCGCGGTCATTTTCCTTCGTGAAGTGCCCCTTAGGTACGACATGGCAATTCCCTTTCGTTATGAGAGGGTTGACTCCTCTTCCTCACTCCACCCAAAAAGAAACACGGACTCGCATCAACCACCTACTCGACAGTCACAACTCAAGGACTCGGGGCTGGCACCAGGCCCTTTGTGCAAGATAACGGACATTTGACGTTCAAGACCAAGTCGGGAAGAATCTCTGTGTGCAAGGCAAGGTAATGTTCATATATTGTCTATTTATCCGTGTCGTCGCCAGTTCAGTCGAAATTGGGTTTCTGTCAGCTGTTCCTGGCTTTCAACAAACCAATCGGGTATCCTGGTAATGCCTGAAATCCATGCGTAGTGCACACAACAAGTTATCAGCGCAGTAGGAGCGTAGATGCATGAATTACCCCATCCCGCGCAATCGCGCTACCCGCTACGCTACCAAGCCACTCACGAAGAGGGACGCTCACTTCCGGCTTGCAAGTCCCGTGTTTTGCTCTCAACTTGGTGCCCGAGAGGCCGGGTTTGCTTAGCACTCCTCTCGCACCTCGTTGTACACCCCGAGTTTTTGGTACGTTCTTGTCCCTACGTGGGTTGGTCGGCGTGAGTTTGAGCACAAGTGGCCATGGTCCTCGTCTATTGCACGAGTTCCAAGCACATCCTCAACAGCAGGCAGGCCCCTGGGAAGGAATAGGCATCGTTGCCTGATGTGCATTGGCCTGAACCTTGCTTTCAAGCCATGGATTGGTACTTCACGACGCTCCAGACAATGGCTGGAGACTTGTCGATAACGACGCCGCTTCCCATTGGTTAGTGGCGCCTGTTTTGAGCTTGCTTCAACAACATAACTTGGTGATCAGGGCCGGAGCCACGACACGCCTCGTAGTTGTCGTGGGGATCGAGTCCTTCGCCAGCACTTGTATCACTTTGGTCGCCACCAAGCACCGTGACTTGGGAGAAATGACAGCGTTGCGTCAGCAGCAGTGTAAAGAAGATCGAGACTGAATACACGTACTAGGTTGGAAATCTGCCGGTGCCCCGCCGTGCCGTCGAGGGTTCATTGTATACTGGGTTGTGATTCTGCTTCTGAGGGTAGGCGAATTCAAAATGAACAGGTCACAGGCTTCATCAGCTTGGCTTGCATGCTCTAGGCGTCAGATGTTGTCCACTTGGCAGATGCTTCCAGGTCGAAGCATGGCCAGCCGAGTTTCGTCAAGGGACGTGTAGGCTCGCGTTGGCCAGCTGACTGCTTGCGTATATATCGTAGCGCCCACTGGAGCTCTTCGACTTTCCACGAGCGGTAGCAGGACCACCAGATCACCACGAATGTTTCAATGTCTTGATGTGATCACCTCAGTACCAAGTATCTGATTCCAGTCACCTATAGCCTGGTTACATGCTCAGTAGGAGGCTCTAGGCATTATGACTACCAGGTCAATTTACCATGGCGGCTGCCTAGTGACGCGTCTGAAGCTTGCAGTTGGTAGCCTAAGGCACGCCATCACCACTGTGACTCCTCGTTGGAGGTATTCATGAGAAGTCATACACCACGAGGCTCTCTCTGCCATCCTTGGTTTCTTTCAGAACAATGACCATCTCATCGTCAAAACCCACCCAATTGCGCCGGTCGTCCCAGCGAGCCGGTGTCACTTCTGTTTCGTTTACAGTTGGACTTGGTCGTATCTCGATGCTCTTACCACTGACGCGTCCTTCCAGCTCCCAAACTCGGATCTCCTCGCCCCGGCAGCTGACACTCACAGCCTTGCCCCTCGCAGTAATTTCCGCGTCGCTGATGCCTGACGTATGGCCCCACAAGCGGATGCCTGGGGATACATTAAGCGTAGTCGCAGTTGATGTACAAACATGGAGGATCAGGGTGTTATCAGCCATCGCGGCGAGGAGATACGGGTGGCTGTAACATAGTGTCTTTGGGCCATCGAAATTCCGAGCTAAAAGATGGGGGTGCTGGGAATCTACCGAGGGCGTTGAGGAGGCTGAGGCTGATCCTGAAGCCTTGACAGGTTCAGCGAAGGCCAACCGAGTTGACACAACCGAGGACGAAGTCAAGCCGCCTACGCTCTGGGACCGGATCTGAAGATCCTGGATCCCGATGGACCACCCCTCCAACGTAGAGAATGTGTAGGCGATAGATGCGATTACATATGAAGCCATTTGACGAATTGAAAGAGCCAAAGGTGCTCGCGATGTGTGCGATTTGAGAGATGTCAGCAGGATCGGGGCAACCAGCGAGGTTGAGGCCTGTATGTTGTTCCGCTTTGCTCCGGCCTCCAGAAAGGGAAGTTCTTCCGCTTCACTCTCGGATTCCTGGAGAGTTGCACTTTCTGAGCCGGCATCCGTTTCGCTTTCTTCGGGAACGGCTGTCTCGTTTTGTTCTCTTTGGATGACTGAGTTGCCAGTCGGCGGCCGCCGCTCGAAGGTGTATAAAGATATTAGAACCGATTCCGTTGCCGTCAAAACAAAGGGATGGCGGTAGGCGATCTCAAGCAGCCGACCATTGCTAGACTTTTCATGCCTGTACCGGCTCAGAAACCTTCCACCCTTTAGGTCAAGTCTCCAAGCGCCAAAACTGCCATCGAGGAACCCGACCAAGACATCGAGCGTCTTTTTGTCGAATGACTGGTCGTCTACAGCAAGGCAAGTTGGTATCGTCTTGTCTGATCCCTCTCCGAACCCAATCTGGGCGACGGGCTCTCTAGTTTTTAGATCCCACGCCCGGAGGCCAGAGAAGCTGTCGGCGGTTACGGCAATGCCTTCCACCACTTTTGCAAACGTCTTCCGCGGCTCCGAGGAAGCTGATGGGGCTTCTCCAACTTTGAGCTCTTCAACCGAGGCTTTCCCACTGGCCCAGTTATGGCGCAGCTTGTACTGACGCTTCCAGTCCACAAACTCTCCAGAACCCCCTGTTCGGCCCCAGCCACCGTCGGCCCAGACCGTTCGCCTGGCAGAGTAATGTACTCGGGTGCTTTCTCTAGCGGATCCGTTGCGGAAGCCAGGTATTCGCAAGGCGCGAGGCAGGACGAAACGGCGGTAGTACAGCGTCCGCCATAATTGCGAGTCGGAGGAAAGGCGGTGGAAGCGGTGGGATACGGGTGCTATGCCCAGGAGATCTGAGATTGACAAAAAAGACAGTATGCGTAGAAGGATCTCATCCGATAGCGATGAAATGATATCATTGTCTGCAAAAACAGGCTTGCTCTCGACTTTTGAATTCGTGTCGGTTTGCTGCGATGAGGTAAAGCGCGGCCGTTTGGAGATAGACAGTGGCTCGGCTGTGCCGGCATGAGGGTGTTGCCTCTTGCGTTGCATTTTCCGACTTGGATAAAGACTCCCTCGGGAGCCTATCCTCTGTCGTTTGCCGGATCGTCAAAATGGCCGCGGGCGACAGCTGTTTCTAAGAAGTCGCAATCAAGTGTCTGACTCGGTAGTGGCTGAGTCGCAGTGGCCAAGAGCTGAACGATGCTGAGCTGCGGCAGATCAAGGATGCGGTCATTGATAAGATAAGCATTGGTACGGATACATGGATGGTAAGCAACCGTGCACAGGCTCACGACTAGGGCTGGTTTACATATCTCCTTCTCCTCTGCCCTCGTCAAGGTTGTCGTCCGTGTCATCCACTCAGTTTCCTTTGTCAATATCCCGGTCCAAGTGAATACCCTGGTGGCTCATTTTTTATCCAGAACTGTTCAGGCCCTGCATTCTCAGCCGCTCACTCAAAATGAACACAGGACGATAACGACAGTATCCTTGATCGTTGATAGGCGACGGGCAGCTGGCTAGCTGAGATGGTCATTTACTCATTCTCCGTCTGGTCCAGAATATTTTTCTTAGCTGCAATGAAGGAGAAAGCGGCATCTGCTGTTGGTTGGGGTCTCTGAAAGAAGCTGAGAGGTATTGTTCAGCTGGCCCACTTGAGCGCGTTGACATGAGGTTTCTGCGCCTTGGAGAATCTCGAACATGGCAAGCCGCCGCGCCATATTATCCAGACTCCTTTACATATCTACTATATCCTGATTATCCAAGCAGAGATGATTCCAGCTGCGGCGGTTGAAGGTGCAGTTTACCGAAGAAGATTGTTTTGCTTATATCTGCTCATAACATAACTGGCTCTATACTCTTCAAGAGCTCAAACATAATCAGAGCACATTGCTGGTACTGAATATGGAGGAAATGGCTAAGTTTGCACAAGATAAGGTTGCAATAAACTAGCGCTGAACATACTGTATGATTGTGAAAGCTTGTATTCTCTCACGAGAATGGCCCGACCACCATTTTCAGGGCGTCGGGCCATGGTAGGCTTACTATAGACGAGCTGAGGGTGTGCCAAAATATTCCTCATCACAAGCTATCTGGATATTTCCCTAGGTTAGATAAATCCATGTATTTACACAATGTCATCAGCGACAATTTATATGCTACGGAGGGCCGTGGTGGCGCTGCCTCTGATGCAAGTCCGCTGCTTTGAGCAAATTGGGTGGCCATATCACTCTCCAGGTCATGTACAAGCAGCTCCTGAAGTCACCCCGGAAAGAAAATATCTTGTAAGAATTTAGAATAAGAGGTGTGTTAGATGTGTATCTTTTCAGGATTCAGTTTAGTGCTACCTTGGCAGCGTGGTGAAGAAAATGGTTACAGGCTTGCTAACATGAATCACTGTCGGAATAGACTCGGGGTGTCTATATACGGCTAACGGTGCCATCGGATCGCTGCTTTCCCCTCATATAATTATCGTGCCTCTTTCACCAATTCCCATGCGTATATTCACCTATTCGTAATCGCCCCTATCTTAGTATTCATAGCCAGCAGACAGGAACGATAGGCGGCATGAATGAATCGTTTTCAGTGGATATGGCCTCGTCTCTCTCGACTATTCGTACTTCTCAGTGACCGGCTCTTGCCCAGCCATCTGGACAGCCTGAGCGATTGCATATGCATACACCTACTAACAGGCTTACTGAGCTGGGTACTGTTTCGTCTGCATAGCAAGTCCGGAGTATGCCTATAATCAGGTATTCTAACTTTTGGAACTTCATGCAGTTGGATCGAGTCGGATCGTCTACGAAAGGTTGGGAGAAGTGACAGGCGTAGAAGGAAATTCGCGTGGCCCAGTATAGGTAGGTTTCCAACTTTCGGATATCACGTTCTTGCGAGTAAGTGGACGTCACCTAGGCATATTAGGTCTAAACGACGTATTCCATCTAACCGGCAGTTCCATCGTTATACTTTTTCCTATGTTGGGACATCCAGAGACGATTCCAACAGGACAAATGGAGCATAGTATAGTATATACTGAGGAGATTTCATCCGGCCACTTTCCATAACTTTCTGTGTGGCCACAAGGATGTTGTGCAATCTCCGACACGACCAGACTTGGGCTAAAAGACATGTCTGGGAGCGTGTAATGAATATGTTGTATCCATTGTTCACATGGTACACCATACGGACGACCTTCAAAGCTAAGACGAGGCTGGCAACATTCAGCTTCCACCATATCGGAAACGCTACGGTGAAAACAGAACATGCCTCATTGACAAAGACCAACCTATGTTGACAAATGGCCTAATCACAGCACCCAAGAATAACAGCAGCAACAACAACAGAAGTAGTGTAGTACTAAGTTGAAGTCTGTTGATGACGAGGAGCTAAACGGCTGAAACGCCGTTGGAGCTGTAAGCAGAGCTTTGAACTGGTGCCGTACCTGTACGTTGAGACCTAGTCTCTTATGTGCCTCAGTTGGTAAGATCATGTCGGCTGTGACCTGTCCAATGATGAAAAAAGGTGGTGGAGAAAGTCCACGCGCCTTGGTCGTGTGCATGAGCCAGCAATCTGAAGCTGTACGAGGAAGGCGAGCGGCCTTCCAGGCTAGACCCATGAGCCATACTGTCCATGGGCATTACCAACTGGACGTGGGTGGACGCAAGAAGCAAAATGGTGTGGTAACATGACTGAAGGACAGCATTCGCAGATTAGCACACTCTCTCCTACAACCACTAGGGCACAATGAGTTCCGCATCAAATTATTGAATACCGTAAAATGTGTTCAAGGGGTATGCCCATTAATCGCAGTACTGTACCAGGGTCGGTTATGTGATGGATGACAACAGCATCGAAGAGCCAAGCAGGGCCGTCAGTATGCGCGGGTCAATTCCATGACGACAATGGACTTCCCCTGTTAATTCCTGCCAAGTTAGCCACCTCCCTCCCCCTTTGCACATAGTACTACAGAAGCCGCCGTCTGGTGGGTCCGCCGCCGAAATGGGATCGGGCCGAGGGGCGGGGGATCCTCACACTCGCGGCCGAAGGTACGGTCCGCTCTGGCGCAGTCTCCAGAGGCTGACGGAATGACTTGAGTTGCACCAAGTCAACGGCTCGGACGGACTTTGCAGGAAAACGAGGTGCCGGCAAGTTCAGCAACCTCCGGGTTCATTCCACAGCTGTGTCGGGGAGGTGGGGGGGGGGGGGGGGGGGGGGTTCACTCTAAACCAGCGCACGGGTTGACTGGATTTCGGCAGGGAAAGTTTCAAGATGAGCGCTAGCTAGCAACAACATCGTACACATACCTACCTAGTACCGGTACATACCTAATTAATTAGTGTTCGAATAGTAGGCTGAACAAAGCAGTGGGGCTGCACTCGAAGCGAATGATTTGCTTATCCTCGCAGCTGACTCGTCATCGAAAGTCAAGGGGGAGCGAGCTCACGGGTATCCGCCACCCGCCTACCTGTCGCCATCCATCCGCGCCACTCATCCTAAAGCGGTCTGTTAACCCCATCAACAACACGACAACCCATCCATTTCGCCCGCGCAACCGCTCGGCTAGCGAGACTGTTCATCTAGTGCCCTGCAGCATCAGTTGGGACATTACCTTGGCGCACCGCCGCCCCGAGCCGACAGCTTACCTACACACACATAGACACCTCGGCACATACCACCGGAGAACACGGCTCTCGTACGCTGCCGCTCTGTCTGGTTGTCGACGCTTCAACATGGAGTCAGATTCTCGATCCGCGGGCCCCGAGGACCAGAGCCTCCGTCGAGCTGTACGTTCCCCGTCCTGAGTGTTCCGAGTCACGCAGCTTTACCAGTCCATTTTTATTTTCTCATTAGAAGTGCGTGCTGACATTGGCTATCCGTCTCTTAGTGTGATCAATGTCGCACCCGTAAAGTCGGTGGCCCCGTTCGTTCTTGTGCTTGCTTTCCCCTAACTCCAGAGGACGCCACATCTGGCCATATCCCACTAGCTGAAGATAATCACATCCTTACAGCTCATCTTTCCTTCGCAGAGGGACGCCTTGCATGCTATTGAGATTTCGGCTTGGCTGACAAGAGGTCCTATTATGGCCCAGTGCTGCAGATTCGGTGTGACAAGAGCTCGCCATGTTCCAACTGCCGCATAACGCAGCGTGCCTGTAGCTCTAATGGCGTTGGCCAAAAGCCGAAAGAACAAAGGCATCGGGTACTCATATCTCTTCAATAGTACGCTGCCCGCCCTCCATCCGCCTTGTTTCCTGACACCCTCTTCACCGTGTACGGCAGCGAGGTTTTGGTGGCCGTCTGGCTGCTGCCGGCAGTCCTTTGCCACCTCAGACATTTGGCCAGAGAAACGCTGACATGTATGGCCTGCTTTCAACAGCGAGAAGAAGATTGACTTGATTGAGGAACGACTCTCCAACATTGAAGAGTTGCTACGGAGTCTCGTGAATGACCCCCAGGGCGCCAGCAACGTTTCGTGGGATGGCAACAGGGTCAGGCATGCTACGCCTTCAGCCTCGACAGTTGGTGATTTATCCATCTTGACACAAGACGACGCAGACTCGGATTCCGCCTTCGAGGGCGAACTCTCACTTACCGCCCATACAATGTTTGCCAGCGATTTCATCGAAGACGCTGTACAGAGAACTTCGCTCCGAGATGTTCCGCCCAATATGCACGCCGCTCTCTCATCCCTTCGTCAGATCGTCACCATGCAGTCCAAAGTCTCCTCCACTCGAGAGTTTCGTTTCCGTACCCAGCAATTGCCCCCACCAGGAGGGTTGACCGACCTGCCTATGCCGCCTATGAATGCCGTTGTGGCCCTGCTCAAGCATATGAAGGGTGCGGCCCTGTCCTTAGTGTACGACAAGCCGGTGTGAACTAACTTAACGGTAGTCTCTCCTCCAAGCATATTCTCGCTCGCATGCTCGTTTCTAGATGTTGACGATCTAGCTGAGCTCTGCCGAAAGATCTACTTCTGCACTGATAACTTTGCGGACACCACATTCGTCATCGTGAATGGCGCGCTCTTCTACCTCTTCATGGAACAGTCATACCTCGCGCCCAACGCAGAGGCTCGAGAGGAGTTTGAAAGGTATCAGCACATATGCCAGAGCAATCTCGAAACCGCCCTGACTTGCTTGCCACTCATGCTGCCCGCCAAAAGAGAAAGCATCGAGGCTTTACTCCTGGCCGTACGTAGCATGTTTTGCACTGCAATCTTGTTCGTCGCGCTGATGAGAACACCAGGCCGTGTATTCCATAGACGTATCGAAAGCATCTCTCGCATGGCTTTTTACCTCCACTGCTGCTAGCCTATGCCAAACGCTTGGCTACCACCGCGTCTCACAGGCTAGGAGTGAAAGCGCCGGCCCTAGAGACATCAAGACCCTCTTGTTTTGGCACGTTTACATGCTTGACAAGACTCTCTCACTCAGGACAGGCAGGGCGTCCGTCATCCAAGACTGGGATATCACCCTACCCAGGAGAGTCGACAATACAATGGTTGCAGATCCTTGGGGGGCCATTATTACAACCTGGATCAAACAAGCCGAAATCGCACACCGCGTCTACGAACAACTGTGCGCAGTGTTACTCAGCGCCCCAGACTTGCTTCATACTGGACTAACACCACTGCAGATACAGCCCGCTTGCCATACACCAATCTCAAGAAGAACGGATTGAGACCGTACGTCGTTTGGAAAGTGAGCAAAAGGCCATTATGGCTGCCGGGTCCCATGTGCGAGAGCAGGTTCTCTTCGGGCTCAAGGCTATGAACGCCTCGTCCATTTTAGACATACATTTGAGGGGTGACGAAATGTCCTTCCACTCAACTATGACCTTGATCTATAGAGCACTACCAGCACCAGAGGGCTCACCGACCCGATTTTCCCAGGAGTGCATTGACACTGCACGATTCGCCATGCAGTTGCATCTCGAATGCATGCAAAAAATCGCTGAAGAGGGGCGGCACCTCAAGGCAGTTTACATTCACTGGTGAGAGTCAAAACTTATCCATCGTAGCGATCCTGACTGATCCAACCAAGGGCTATTTTGCTCACTCCGTTCACACCCTTTTTCGTCCTCTTCTGTCACGTCATTGACACATCGAATGCCGATGATCTCAGGCGATTGAACGAGTTCGTTGCCTCTCTCCGACCCGCCTGTGGACTGTCAGAGCCCGTCGAGAAGCTACACCAACTCTGTTCAATGTTGTGCAACGTAGCGACGCTCTACATGGAAAGCAAGTCGCAGCAGTCGGAAGAACGCGGCCCTATCAACGATGAGTTTGACGTATACTTGAGTGCGCTGGGGTTCCCACCAGCCGAATACCCTGCTCAAGGGATGGATACCAGCGATATGTCTCAGCCCAGTCTGCAGACTGCTCAGTTGGGCAACTGGTTTTCGGGCAGCCAGTACATGATGGGGCTGCTCGAAGAGGATCTGTCCCAGTTCAACTAGCTTGGCTGTGGAGGACAAAATCAAGCCCAAATTTATCTTCCAGCAACGTAGATAGATTCGATAGAATTTTGCCGTGGCATGTTGAACGTCTGTATCCTCTCGATTGGAAGACGGAGCACGAAGGGGCCAAGCCAGGATTAGAATGCGACGGCTGGCGGGACGCCCATACGATACTCGGAAGAACATATCACTCCGCAACTCGTCGCCTTCTTTCTTGTATTTAATATTCCCTCGAGTTGCATTGGTTAGGTCAGCGCAGCACGTGACAAAGGCCGACAAGCTCCTACTTGGGGGCATAGCTCGGTAAGTCGTTTGCAGGTTTGTAGTTGGAGTTGGAGGTAAAGAAATCAATCAGTCGGATGCCTTGGGTCATAGACTTGGTAACCCTCATCGTCCGTATCGCTTTCGGCCGCAGTATCCCGCTCGCGAGCATTCGCAAGCCTGTCCGCCTCTAGTGCTTGACCAACTTTTGATTTTGGCGTGTCCGGTGCCGATGCAGCGAGAGCGTCTGCCGGAGCAAACGCCGACTTGAAGCCTGATTTCTTGAAGCCGCCTTTCTTGAATCCTCCCATGGTGGCGGTCTGGTGTGGCTGTTCGTTAGGGGCAAGCTTGATGCTGACAAGCCCGTCAGCCTTGGCCTCGGCTTTCCGTGCTCGGGCGCCGGCGTTCGGATCGCGGACCATGGCCTTCATGTCCTTGAGGCGCTGTTTGTGGCTATGATCGTAGCTACTAAGATGTGCTTCATAATCGTTCATGCGGGAATAGCCTTTCGAGCAGAGGCTGCAGTAAAAGGATTGGAGAGCTTCGCGGGCGGCAGCGGTCTGCGCCGGGGGAAGCGTTTGGTGGCGCTGCTCGACGGAGCCAAGTCAGTGGTCTATTGAGGCGATATCTGCGCTTATTATTCTTTACTTACTGGAGGCATCTTGACCGATAATCCTGGATGTATATGTTCGACGTAGGCTGTAAATGGTTGTGACGTTGACAAAAGGTAGGTTGGAGTTGAGCTCAACGGTTGCGCGCCATAACGGGTATAGCGGCTCCCCGGATAGCGTCGGGCCCACACACCCGCAGCTCCAGACGTGGAATAGGTAACCAGGTGCTTGCCGCTCCCTGTTGCTACAACCTACCTATGACGTGTTGAGGAATGGTCAGCTGCGCAGTCAACGATTTCAGTGTACTCAGACAACCTATTACAGGTGCTTGACCTGCAAATACCCTTGGGTTTGTCGTGATACAGGCCAACGAGCCAACCGGACCGACATTTGGGCCACCTACAAACAGCCTCTCATTGTGCTTGCACAGTGTCGCAAAGAATCAGCACCTCCGCTCGCCATGGAGTCCAGATCTCTCCAGTCGAAGCCGTCAGAGGAGACTCTCATGTCGCTTCTCCAATTAGACCCGTCGCCCATTGAGACACCACCGGTCGATACCGAGAAAGATCTTCCACCCTTGCCGAGAGATGCGCTTGAGAATGGCACTAGCTCACTCAGGTCTACGTCTTCGGCCCCCGGCTTGAGTGGGAGCGGGCATAATACCATCTTCTACCGTATGCTCACAGCAGGCCACACATTTCCGTATCCGACTTTGACATAGGCTAACTGACCATTATCCAATTGCTAGTTACGCGTATACAAAAGTTTTCGTCTTACCTGATACCTTTATTTATGACGCTTCATGTCACCAATACTTCGATAATACCCCTTATTGCCCGCTCCGTTCCGGCTTCCGAAACCTACCTGTTGCTGTCTCGAGAGATATATCAAACATCGCTCACAGAACCACTTCTCGTGGTATTACCCATAGTCGCACACGTTGCCTCCGGTATCGCGCTTCGTCTCGTCCGTCGGTCACAAAACCTCAAGCGTTATGGCGGTAACACACCAGGCATGTACGCATTATATCGCGCTCGGACCGGCGCAACCTCCCGGTCCTTGACATCCAACAGCATCAACTCCGCTGGTCGCATATGGCCACCAGTCAGCTACATCTCCATGTCTGGCTACGTCTTTACGACATTCCTTGCTGCCCACGTGGGCATCAACCGCATTCTCCCACTCTATGTTGAGGGCGACAGTTCCAATATCGGCCTGGCTTTCGTTTCGCACGGGTTTGCTCGGCACCCAATTCTATCTTGGCTCGCTTATACCGGCCTGCTGACGGTGGGCTGCGGCCACATGGTCTGGGGCGCTGCTAGGTGGTTGGGGCTGGCACCGACAGCCATGGGATGGAGCGGTAGCGGCTCCAGTGTGGTCGATAAGAAGGTCCGGCGGCGCAAGAGGAGATCATGGTGGGCACTGCATGGTGTTGCCTTGGTAGCAGCTGGTATTTGGGCAGGCGGTGGTCTAGGCATCGTAGCAAGAGGAGGCCTGACAGATGGTTGGGTTGGCAAACTTTACGATGATCTCTTCGCCAAGATCTCCCTTTTGTAAAAAGAATTGACTGGCTAGGTACCGAGCTCATCGCATGATACCCAGGAGGCAGACTGCGTTACACATATCACATTCACATTTGTCATCAATGCTAACGAAATGTATACGCCATGACTTACTTCGTGAAGGCAACAAGCGAATGGTTAATCACTTATCACAGATTTCACTCTCAAGGAACAAATCAATACAAAATACTTTTGAAGAAGCTGTAAGACCGAGAGGAAAGATAATAACATTTTCAAGGAAAGTATTGGGCTTCATCTCGCCGACGAGTTATGGCTAATTACATAGCCAACGCATCTTGTGCAACCACAAACCCCCTTCCGTCGACTACAACAGTGACCCTAATTTAACCCACAATCCTCACCTTCGTTTATCACGCCAAGCCATGATGAGAGCTGGCCGACTCCACGAATATGCTGGCAGGGGCGCTTTGAAGTATGAACCTTCGGAAGGATGGTGGCGCAATTGCAAAGGTAGTAAGCAATCATTAGTGTTGTATGGTTCATTTCTCTGGCTGCCGTGTGTCCAGCAGCATCTAGTTGCCGTTATTTCCTTGGCCGGGAAAGACACCGCCGTTGAGCTGAGGGCAAGCCTTCTGTGCCGCCTGGGCTGCCTTGACCAGGTCATTTTGGTCTTTGCAGGCCCCAGAAACGCAGTTGATCAAAGAGTTAACATTTGCTTTTTGGCAGTAACAGTCCTTGATTTGGTCCTGCGCGCAGCCACTTTTCTGGATGTCATCGTTGACGCAGCTCTTGGCACAGTCGGGCACGTCGAGGCTGTCGGCAATGGCAACGCCGGCGGCAGCAGCCAGGATAGCGAGGAATGAGGTCTTCATTTTGATAGAATTTGTCTGGTTTGGGGGTGAAGTAGTTTTGATAATGACCGATTTGGCGAATGGTGTTGTTCTTTATCCGGTTGTCAAGTCCGTTGGATGAGATTCTACCTACCTATCTATAACCGGGGCCATCTCGAACACTTTATATGCTCGTTCTACTGTCCAACAAGTACCGGAACTAGGCCATGGCACACAGGTCTTTCTCTTGACGTAATGGAGTGTATCATCCTATCCCCAATTGTCACCGTTGACTCTCCAGAGGAGCTCAGTCAGAACCACACTGATTGTATGTCCGAGGCGCAATATTGTAGACTAGGTTTTGCGGATTGACTACGGGACCGCGTGTTCTTGAACCTTGTTCGAACATGCCAGTCAGAACCCAAGGTACAGTGATAGCGAACAAGATACACGGCAGTGTCTCTTTTCGTTGGGTTCGTAGACTACTCTCAATGTCCCAGCTAATAATCAACTTGTTTGCTCTGACCCCTGCCGGTGTACATGTCAGAGAGCCTCCCGCTATGTGGCTGGCATGAGTAACTTAAATGTCATGGGACAAGCCGTTCGGTCGAAGCACAGACCTGAGTTCTGTTGGCATTGAGACTCGGCGTGGGCTGTGTTATTACGTATGTCGGCAGGCTGAAGAGCAGACTCGGGTCAAAGCCACATGCGCAGATGAGTGAGCACACAACGGCGATGCATCTTTGTGGGCATTGCCCAATGCATGGATAGGACGTACATGTATCGAGTCACCTTCGAGACCTTTTTCCGTCGCCAGTTCTGGTGAAACAGACTCTGCAGAGTTCGCTCTGTGCGTAGTATCGACGACGATCGTTGGGCTGTGTGGAAAACATCGGTTTACACTGGCTAGCCTACATCACCTACTTGCCCGCGTTACACGCACTTTACTTGGGACATGTCCATGTTCTCCGATGGTTCAGGGATGCTGATGCCTGGCGCTTTGGTTGCGCCCTAATCACGTTCCTTCCAGAACCTCGAACGCCGCGCGACCACCACTCCAAGGCCAACGCTTCAGAATAGATGGTCTCGACCGTCCACAGGCCTCAATCCGGTCCCTGTACAAGTAACGGTTCGGAATCTGGTCGTGGCTTATATCTTCGCATTCGATCAATAACCCGCGAAGTGCGAGGTTATTGTCACCCTTTATGGGCCACCAAAACCGTAGGGGAAAGGATTATGCGACGCTATCTTTAGGGGTATCCTGCAAATATTATAAACAACCCCGACTTCCTAGTATGTATTCCTGCTTCCTAACACGCTCAGACTCCGCTGCCAATCACCTGCCGCTTTTTTCTTGTAATTCTTTTTGCCTCAATTTACCAATCAATGTAATAGAGTACCACTGGGGTGCAATCCGTTTGAGCCCTCCATGTAACATCATCCCCGAACCGAACCTGCACAAGGTCCTGGTCCTCCAAAGTTTTCCGAGTTTTCTGTATTTGCAAACACGATTCCGGGGCGTCCATTGGGACAATCATCGTCTGTGTTCGGACCAGCGAATCCATGAATAATGGAACATGGGGGGGTGAAGGATTCCTCGGTCATGTACAGCCAGCCGTTGCATCCGTCATGGATTGAATGGTGACATATTGAACAGCATTCCTCAGCAGTATTGGCCTGATACATATTGAATTTCCAGCCGCTATTCCCATCAATTCCGATCCAATTGACGGCTTTGATGAACTTTGGCTTTACGCATTCCGGAGGCTGTATTATCGGGTGGTTAGCAACTTATTGTTGGAGATTGGCAATGGCCAGCAGCACCTCGATAGAGGGCGTCTTACTCACCGGATTCAGGGTCGAGGAAGGGTACGAAGTGGCCGAAGAGGGTGTTGGTGTGACAAAGTAGGAAGAAGCTTGTGATGCTGGCGAGCTGGCAGTGGTTTCAATGTTTCCAGGGCCATGACCTCGATCGCTTGCAACCACTGTGACCATAACAGGGATCACAATGGCGAGGATGAGCAACCCGATACAGATGCCGATTATCGTCTTCCAGGTCCAAAGGCGCGAGCGACGCTTTAGTTTGGACTGGCTCGTTTGATCTGCATGATTCGGTAAGGCAACATCTCCATCCGGGTGAACACGCCTAGCGTCGTCTGCGCCATCGTTCCTAGTTGGCAAATTGTTCAGCGGAATCTGAACTGCTTCGGGGGCAGAATGGACCATGACCTCGGGTGCCGGATTGGTCTCATGTTCCGCCCAGAGGTGACCTCTGGAATAATCATCCATGTTCGGCATGCCGACTTGGAAGGTTCTTGATCAGGACAGTCGTTGGATTAACGTCTCGGAAGACTGAAGTCGAAAATAACAATAGTTACTCCAGGGTGAGGATGTGGGTTGCGGAGGCATCGAGCCCAAGTATTATTGCAGCATCAAGAGATTTAATGAAATATCCACATTGGATGTAATTTTGGGCGTCGCTGGGGTGAAGGGTGCTGGAAACAAAGGGACGTCGCGAGATCCCAAATATGCGGCCAGTGTGTTTGTTTGCCTGCCAGGCGAAGCAAGCACAGAGGAGGTTGAAGATGACTGGAGATTCCGGTGTTACAGGTATTCCGAGAAGATGTTCCTTTTGGTTGAGCGCAGTTGAGCGCAGTCGAACCCTGAGTGACTCTACACCGGAAGAGAAAGAGGGAAAGAGCGGTGGAGTGTGTTTGTATACCTCCTCTCTGTATTAATGACCTTTACATTAGAACATAGAAGCCCTTTACCTTCCTTAGTCACTCGACGGGATGACACTACGGCCTCACCTCATTTCAACGAGACTGCCGCCATGTTCTTCCACAGTTATATTATGTTGTATCGTACCTCACACCCATCTATGTACCTTGAGACCATAGAAAAAGTCAAAGTTCGCCATAGGCACTATCAACCCAAAGCGCAGCCAGACGCTTGACACTTACCAAGCCAACCGAATGAGGAGTCTTGTTTCGGCCATCAACGTAAGAGTGATGGAGGCAACCGCCCATTGTCTGGCCTGACTATGTCGCAGGCAGCACCTACTTCATCGTAAGCTATTGTACGGTGCTTGCTACGAGTAGTTTGTATTGTCCAGCACAAAACACACACATCCATGACGACTTCCAACTCGATACATTACATTTGAAGATGCTCAAGTAGCGAAATCGCTATACCACAGATGACAGGACTGTTAATGTTCTTCCAGAAGGGAGGGGGAGATGTAAGGAATATGCTGAAACATGTTTCGTCATTGGAAAGCCACCTTCCGTCTATTCTATTGTTTTTCACCGTGCCGTACTCTTGTATTTCCTTCCATCATAAGATAGTCGTGTTATGCCTTGATAAACGCGTTTTATACTTGCCGAAACGGCAAGCCTCTTACTGGACCAAAGTCTTGGCATCTCCATCCTTGAGCTTGCCAGCGCCAACAAGTCGCTTGACCTCATCGCTCCAAACACTCTTGATCTCATCAGCAACCTTGAGGCCGTTCAGCTTGCCAGCCAGGGCCGCAATCTCATCAGGGTCAATCTTGCCCTGAACGAGCTCAACATCACCGAGAACAGCGTCGATTGTAGAGGCCGAAGGCTCGCCAGACGCAAAATAGTTCGCGTCCTTGACAGAGCCCTTGAGAACACGCTTGTTCTTCTTGACAGCGTTTTTGGCAGCCTCCTTAGCCTTCTTGGATGCCTCCCGGTCGACCTTGGCCTTCTCTTCCGCCTCCTTGGCAGCCTTCTCCTCGGCCTCCTTCTTGGCCTGGGCCTCTCCAAGAGCCTTCTTCTCTGCCGCCTCCTTTTCTAACCTCTTTTTGTTCTTGGCCGCATTGGCTTCCTGTCTAAAGCGCTTGATGCGCTCGTCGCCGGCGGAGCAGTCGTCAAGCAGCTTGCGCAGACGGGCGTTGTCCTCGGCCTTCTTCTTCTTGCGCGCGTTGGCGTTCTTGCGTTCCGTGTGGCGCTTCTGGTCACGGTTCTCATTGTCGTCAGGGACATCCTCGTCCAGGTACTCGAACGTCCGCCAGCTATCAAAGTTGTACCAAAAGTTGTAGAACTCCTCAACCTCCTCCTTGGTAGATTTGTCGTCGCCAAAGGTCGGTACTGGCTGGATCTTGGAGAAGCGGCCCTCAGCCTTGAAGACGTTGCCCCACAGCTTGTAGAAGTTGCCCTTAGCGAGCTGCTTCTTCGTGGGAGGATCAACATCGGCCTTCTCGTCGACCGAATCGTATTGTAGACGTTTGGTAGGATCCAGAAGAACCTCGGTGGCCTTTTGAATGCACTTAAAGAAGCTATCATCGTCGACAATACCAGCGGCCGCCTTCTTGTCAGGGTGATGTTTGAGGACCTTCTTGCGGTGGGCGCGCTTGATTTGGTCCTCCGTGGCCTTCCAGCGATACTTGGTGAGCCCGAGAACCTGGTAGTGATCTTGGTTCTAGATTCACCAAAAGCGTCAGTCGTAGTCTCATGTGGGCGAAACAGCACGCGCAACGAGGGTGACCCGCTTGCCTTCCAGTCCTTGGCGTCACGCTGAAGCATCATGGGGTCCTCAGGCTCACTGATCTCGCCATCGTCGTCGTTCTCAACCTTCTTGGCAGCCTCTTGGGCCTGGATACGATCGTCCTCGGAGAAGGTACGCTTGTGACGGGCCCGACGGGCGTGGGCCAGGAAATGAGGACCAACGGGCTCCAGGCTGCGCTGAGTAGCGGCAGCAACCTGGCTGACGGCCTTAAAGTCCTTGTCGGCGGACCAAGCCTCAGGGAGAGCCGGGAGGGCCTGCGCGACAACGGTTGCAGAAGCCATGTCGAAATTGTTCGAATTGTTTGGCTGGATGAGGGCAACTTTCGTGGGTTGAAAGGAATGGAGGGACGTCGTTTACCTCGGGGGGAAAAGCCATCAAACGTGGGGCACAATTTTTTTTTCTGGAGTAGGGGTGTGAGAGTGCAAGAAACTAAGGGTGTGTCTTTAGACATACTTGGTGTTCGCAACTTTTTTCCCCTGAGCCATGCCACGACTCTGTTGAGCCTCTATTAATCCTCTCCAATCACCCCGGTTTTACAAAGCAGACGTACTCTGATAGTCGCGCTTTGAACAGTCCACTGCATCTACTATGTCCCTGCCTGCGTATCGACACCTCTGGCGCGCCGCGAGGATTGCCTTCAACGGTATGAGAAACGCTCCACTTGCACGACTGCCATCCGACTGACAATGGAATCGTCTTCAGGTGACGACCGAGTACTCACAGCTGCAAGGCAGCAGATCCGTCAAGGCTTCAGGGACCAAGCTAGCCTCGCACCAACAAGCCTGGCTTACGGCCAAGCTATCCAAAAAGCCGAGGACATCGCCAAGATCCTCAGGGAAAACGTCGTTCAGGGTAAACAAGATGAATCTAGCACATATAGTGAGTTGCACCATGTTCAAGATGCTGCTTACAACTGCGTGTCATGCTAAGGAATGGCCCTCAGAGTTGCGTATTCACAAGGACACTGAGCGGGGCGACAACGATTCTGTCAAGATAGCCGGCAGGGGCAAGACAACGACCATGGGCGGGTGCGGCTGCAGTTAAGGGACTAGAATAGTCTTGAAACTGAAAGCTGTGTAGCTTAGCAGAAATGCTTTTAACTTTGTACAACAACACTTATGATACCCTGACAAACAATACCGCTTTTACTCAAACCCAAGTCCCAGTCGCCGCGTCCAGGTAATCCTTACAAGCTCCTCAACTCCGTAAGAAATGCAATTTGCATCTGTCGTTCATCAAGATCACTCGCCCTGGAGACTAGCATACTTCGGACCATCGTCTGCGCCTGGAGGAGGAGCAACCGCTTGGACATTCGATGGTCGAACATCCTCTCCAGTATCAGAGCTAGCGGGTATCTGCCTTCGTCCACTCTTTCCATCCCCCCCCCGCGCGCTTCCCTGTCCTCGTCGTGCATCCATGAGCATCTGTGACCGTTGCTCCTTGTCCATGGTGCCGATGGCCTTGGGAACGCCCCAGCGAACACGCAGAGGGCATCCTGCAATCACAGCTCGACCTCGACACGCGGCGGCGGCCTTCTCAGCCGCGTCCCTCGTCTCGTAGTTGACAAATGCACAATGCGACATATGCGAGCAAACCAAGCTCTTGATCTTACCATGCGCCTTGAAGAACTCGCGAATTTTGTGCTCAGGCAGGTCGTCTTCGATACCAGTGACAAAAAGGGACATGATATTGTTGTCGGCAGGTGGCATCCAGTCTTGGGGCCCAGGGGGCAGCTGAGCAGCACTAGGGAAAGCTTGCTTCGACCGGCCAGGCCTAGCTCCAGCTGCTGCTGCGGCCCTTGAATCTCTCGTCCGGATGGGACCTGGTCCGCCAACACCCGCACCCACGGCCGGGTTACCACCGAGTCCACCACTTGAGCTTGAGCCTGCTTGAGCCTCGTCGAGGCCTTCAACGGGCCGGCCCTTTCGAAAGTAGGGCTTGCTTGCCGCTAATCTCCGCAAGAGCTCTCTGGCCTTCTCATCCGACTTCTCATACTCTTCGACTCCTGCACGACCTTCCTCAATGGCGCGCTCGTTGTTTTGCGCAAAGTATTCACGGTTAATGTCGGACGACGGTCCGGGGGCTACCATCTTCAAGGCAGCATCGCGAACGACGATAGGCAAGCCAAATGAGAGATCCAGCATACACGCCTGACAGCAGTTCTTCAGACGCGCGCAGGTCAAACAGATGTTTGTTCGCTTCTTCCGACCGTGGGCTCGATCAGCACTCCAACTGAAGACAGTGAAAGGTCTCGTACACTGCCGCGCGTTGTCAGTAAGTGGTTCCAGGGAGAAGTAACAGTCGTGAAGCGGGAGATGAGCTTACCAGTTTGCACTCGGCACCGTAATCTTCCTTGAGCATCTTGACGTAAGGATTCTCGGGCAAGCAGTTCTCGCAAACGGAGGGGAAGTCGGTCGATTCCCACCCTGAGCGGTTCAGGTCTTGCTTGATTTGAGGTGGCATTGCGCCTCAATTCCGCAAAACTCGCTGGGGTCAATAGGTCGGCAAAAGTTGCAAGACAGACAGGGGCTTAAAGGAGTTGGCTTAAGAAAGTGTCGTGTGTTTCTTTGGGATGGTAATCCGGCTGATCAACTGGGGCTGGCAGACTGGGAATCGCAGGCTGACCAAAGCCGTAGGCATGGGGTCACATCAGTGGCGCAAGAGCCTTCTTCTTATCTTCACGTGATACAAATGCGAGTACCTAGTGTCAAAGATACGTTCCACGATCAGACACTTCAAATACCTACCTACAGTATCCGTACTAGGTCATTAGTATTTGAACAGCCATTAGGGCACCCAATCAATCAGTTAAAATTTCTCCGTTGGACCCATACTTATAAGGCATTTATACCAAAATATCATAATAACCGGGTTGCTTAGCCCTGGGTAATCCGAGGTAGTCATCATGTGACCCTTATTGGCTAGGTATGTATGCTCAACTGCCCCAGAGCTGCTTGTGGGTTGCCAATGTGGTATCACACTCGAATGTCGGTTTTTTGAGACTTGTGAGCGACCTTCGGTTTGGCTGAAACGTATGGCGAGATATGATATGTTCCATGGCTGGTGGTGGTTACTACCTAGATATATATTACCCCGTAAATTCGATGGCTTCATAGTGAGAACGCAAGGCGTCTGCCTGTAGATGCGACGATGCCAAGCACCACTAGCCTCCAGTGACAAGTTGAGCAAATTCTGTGACTCTTACCGAATTTAAAAGCTTCCCAAGACCACTACTGGAGTGTCCACTTGGGAAAACATGAAGCTAGATATACTTCGCCGCTGCATCAGGCTGAGCAAACCTGATTGCCCACCCCAATGTGATGTGGTCTCCATATAATAACTCTTGTCAATAATAAGCACCTGGCCAATGTAGATAATCGGACGGTAAGCATATTCAGTATCGTACCGAACACCAGCACTTTAGTATCTTTAGCTTCGTCACAGCCGACTTGGGAATGTTGCTAGTGCAATCTCAGTAGTTTACGCTGCATGTGAATGACTGGCTGGGGCTCTTTTGAATTCGTATTCGGATTCGACACCCTGGTCAGCGTGCACATGTTTGCGCTGAGCCAGTGAACCAGCTAGTCACCGCCTGCTCAACAAAGCTATGTAATTCTACCAATCACTACTATTGGCCAATTGCCAATGGCCACGGACCTTGGCGGGCCCCGAACGACTGGCAGCATTAGCTTCCGCTTCCCCCTTTCCCTTTTCTGCACAGGGGTTCCCCTACGGGCGTGGTGGTTGCAATTCTGCTATTGGCAGTGGATACCTTCTGTCTGTCTCCTCTGCCATATGGTTAACCCATTAAGGAAATGGGAGGTCGAGAAAGAGGGATGCATGGGAATGGTGGTAACCGTCGTCACTGGAAATTTGACATGGCAACCTGCCGTCTGCCGTCCCCTTTTCCCGCTCGATACGGAGTACTTCTTGACTGTAATAAAGAAAAGAAAGAAAGTTAAAAAAAAAAAAAAACCCCGGCCATCCCCCGCTCTCTTGCGCAAAGCATCTGATTGCCCATTCTAACATTTTGCCGACTTGATTGTTCGGCTGACCCCCATCTCTTCTATTTCTTCTTCTGCCACCCTCTCCCACACGCACACTCATTCTCTCTGTCCTTCTCGACTTTACAAGTTGCTCTCCCATTCTGCCACACCATCCGTCATCCGTCGTATCGCCAACTCAACGTAACAATGGTTTCCTCAACGGCCAACAATCTCGAGCGCGAGGACCACGCCCGCGATGCCGAATTCAACAAGGCCTTGCATGGTAACAGTGCCAAGGCCACCGGTGGTCTTGCCGCCATGTTCAGCAAAGGCCGCGATGCTAAGCAGGCCGCTGTCGATGAGTACTTCAAGCACTGGGATAACAAGGCTGCCAAGGACGAGACTCCCGAGGAGCGCGCAGTGAGTCGTCCTGCTCTTTCGTGCTTCTTATACCACCCCGAACTCTTGTGTGCCAGAAGCTGACTCGCACTCGATCTAGGCTCGAACTGCCGAATACGCGACCTTGACCAGACAGTACGTCACGCGCAAACTTCTGTGTTTTGGTGACATGTGGCTGATCTTCATCTTCTAGCTACTACAATCTTGCTACCGACCTGTACGAGTATGGCTGGGGCCAGTCCTTCCACTTCTGCCGCTTCTCTCATGGCGAGCCCTTTTACCAGGCCATTGCCCGCCATGAGCACTACCTCGCCCACCAGATTGGCATCAAAGAGGGTATGAAGGTTCTCGATGTCGGATGTGGTGTTGGTGGACCCGCGCGCGAAATTGCCAAGTTCACTGGTTGCCACGTTACTGGCCTGAACAACAACGATTACCAGATTGATCGAGCGACCCACTACGCTGCGAAGGAAGGTCTATCCAGCCAACTCGAGTTCGTTAAGGGGGACTTCATGGTACGTTATTAGGAACACACCAGATCAAATTTGGCATTTCTAATATGCGCTCCGCAGCAAATGTCTTTCCCCGATAACTCTTTTGATGCCGTCTACGCTATTGAGGCCACCGTACACGCGCCTAGTCTCGAGGGCATCTACAGCGAGATCTTCCGCGTGTTGAAGCCTGGCGGTGTCTTTGGCGTCTACGAGTGGTTGATGACGGATAAATACGACAACGACAACCTGGCCCACCGCGAAATTCGCCTGGGAATTGAGCAGGGCGACGGTATTTCCAACATGTGCAAAGTCTCAGAAGGCCTTGCCGCCATGAAGGCTGCTGGCTTTGAGATGCTTCACCACGAGGATCTTGCCGACAGGCCTGACCCTATGCCATGGTACTGGCCTCTGTCAGGCGACCTAAAGTACATCCAGTCTGTGTTCGATGTATTTACCATTGTGCGAATGACCAAGCTGGGGCGCTTCTTGATGCACAACCTGGTTGGTGGTCTTGAGGCCATCAAGCTTGCTCCTGCTGGCACCAAAAAGACGGCCGATAGCTTGGCATGGGCTGGCGACTGTCTCGTTGCTGGTGGCAAGGAGCACTTGTTCACGCCCATGTACCTGATGGTTGGAAAGAAGCCCGCCAATTAGAGGTTATCACAGGTGTGGATTACGGGTAGAGCTAGCGACAAACCGCGAGGTGCCACCGGCAGATGTAAAAAGGAGTCCATGACTTGGTTGCTCGTTATATGAGTAGGTATTCTATCAGTATCATAATTGTAATTAGGAAATGATTGCCATAGAGGGCGTAGATGAGGCGTCATGGGATCAAAAAGTTAAGATACAACACCAACCGGCAAAGAAATGTCAAAGAGAGCTTGCCATTGCGGAGTGGCTGTGAAGAGTGAAGCTGTCAATGCGAGAAGCTGGACAATGTCTGCGGAGTTCTGTTCGGCCGTACTCTATGGCCCCTTGCTGAGTACTACTGGCGTTGCCATTGTCCCTCACATGCTTATCACTTGGCTGGACTGTGATGATGGAAATCCAGCAGCGCAGCCGAACGATATCGTTCGTTGTGTGCAATTCGTTCAGCCTGAGACTTGACCAGCAACTGTATAACAGATTTGCTGTCGGAAAGCCCAGTTCTGGTACTAGAGTGTCTTGAGCTCGACGGGGCTTTGCATCGGGTGGTTGAGAAGCTCGGTGAACCAAATGTCCCAGCCACACACTTAGGATCAGAGAAGGCTACGTACCCTACAAGGAAACCTTGAAGAAGGATTCCTCCAAATGGCAGAGCAGACATAAATCCCTTTTGACTGTCCATTGTTGGTTGCACCAAGGTGGGCTCTCTGTTCGGATGGAATCGGGTGGCAGTGGGTGCAAATTTCTTGCAAAAGAAATAAAAGACTAAAAGTGCTTACTGCGCTGCGCTGGAGCCTTATGCCCTCAGGTAGATACCTACATACCTTGGTATGCTTGGGCAGAGCTTAATTAAGCCTGAAAGGCCGATAGGGACCACACGCCCAGTATAGCAAATCCAGTCAAAATAGCAGACAAGGGCAGTGATTGGACTCGACGGAGCTTGTCGGGATTAGATCGGACCTGGAATTTGGCGCATCTTCGGACGGGGCAGGCTCCCTGAGATGGGACATGATTGGCTCAAAGGGAGATCGGCCGATTATCTAATGGCTCTCACAAGGACGCCGTCAGTCTACAAAAGGACTAGCGCAGACCCCAGGGCCTCCCCAACGCTGTTATTTGGCAGCTCGCCGCAATTCAACGGACTCAACGCCCATAGAGCTGAGCAAAAGGAAAAAAAAAAAAAAAAAGAGGTCTGCCAAATCCCTCGACAGCTCCCCATCGACTTTATCATCCCTCTCCCTCCGACGCTCAACTTTCGTCGTTGGCCATCGTCAACCCCACCCCGAGGTCGCCAATTGTCCGTCTCCCCCCATCTCTTTTTCTTGTTTCTCATCACCTCCGTTCTCTATAACCACCCTTTGGGATATCACACTTATCTTACGTTGCGACCTCCGTGTCTTTAGCCTACAACCAACCCCGAAAACTCAATTCGCGATGTCCCGATTCCTCCGTCCCGCAGCCCGCCTGGCGGCCTCTTCCAGAGCTGCCGTCTTCCGCTCCTCTCCTGTTTCTCAGTTCGTCAGCCGACCCGCTGCCTTCGCTGTGCAGTCAAGGACGTACGCCGATGCCAAGGGTACCAAGGACTACACAGTCCGTGAGGCTCTCAACGAGGCCCTCGCCGAGGAGCTCGAGGCCAACGAGAAGGTCTTCGTTCTGGGCGAGGAGGTAGCCCAGTACAACGGCGCGTACAAGGTCACAAAGGGTCTACTGGACCGCTTCGGCGACAAGCGCGTCATCGACACACCCATCACCGAGAGCGGTTTCTGCGGTCTTGCTGTTGGCGCTGCCTTGAGCGGACTGCACCCTGTGGTAAGTTATTCACCCTGAGCGCCCTAATAAACACGCCGAATTGCTTCCGGCTCCTGGATCACCGTATTCGACACAGTCCGGTGCCTCCCGAAATGGTCTGAGAGTTTTCCGAGAGCTAATTGTCTAACCTGCGTCTTTCCCCAGTGCGAGTTCATGACCTTCAACTTCGCCATGCAAGCCATCGACCAAATCGTCAACTCAGCCGCCAAGACTTTGTATATGTCTGGTGGTATCCAACCTTGCAACATCACCTTCCGCGGCCCCAACGGCTTTGCCGCCGGTGTTGGTGCCCAGCACTCCCAGGACTACTCAGCGTGGTACGGCAGCATTCCCGGTCTCAAGGTCGTCGCCCCTTGGAGCGCCGAGGACGCCAAGGGTCTTTTGAAGGCTGCCATTCGCGATCCCAATCCTGTCGTTGTTCTCGAGAACGAGCTCATGTACGGCCAGACCTTCGCTATGTCGGAGGCTGCTCAGAAGGACGACTTTGTCCTCCCCTTCGGCAAGGCCAAGGTTGAGCGTACCGGCAAGGACTTGACTATTGTTACCTTGTCCCGCTGCGTTGGACAGTCCTTGGTTGCTGCGGAGAACCTGAAGAAGAACTACGGTGTCGATGTCGAGGTCATCAACCTGCGCTCCGTGAAGCCTTTGGACGTTGAGGCCATTGTCAAGTCTGTCAAGAAGACCCACCGCCTTCTTTCCGTCGAGTCTGGCTTCCCCGCCTACGGCGTTGGCTCCGAGATCCTGGCTCTGACCATGGAGTACGCCTTCGACTACCTCGACGCGCCTGCACAGAGAGTCACAGGTGCCGATGTTCCTACCCCATACGCTCAGGGACTCGAAGAGATGAGCTTCCCCACTGAGAAGATCATTGAGAACTATGTTGCCAAGATGCTGCGTCTGTAAGAAGGTTGTAGTAAGTGGCAAGAGGAGACGTGGCGTAGGCAGGCTGCTTGCGGAAGCTCCCCGGCATGGAGCCGGTTCATAATGGACTATTAGGCTTAGTAGACTTGGGGGAGAAGCTTGTACTTGTATGTTGCTCAGTTGTCATATACACATCTCATACCCTGAGGACACGACTAGATGTGATTGTTCACGCATCAATGTGGAACTATCAAGGTACTTTATTTTACTTGGATGTATTACTGAGTTTACCAGCTCATCGATCAATGTGTTTGCAAGGCTACCCACGGCGAAGTATTTGGTTTCGTTCAGTAAGCACTCTTGGGAATATGTGGCAGGAACTTCAGTACCGAAACACCCGTCTTAGACTTAATCTCCAGGGGTGAGCGATAATGGCACGTATGGCAGTCGTGCTGGAGTCGAAGTTGAGCAGGGATTGAAGTTGTGGGCTGTCTTGCCTCAAACATAAAGCCAGAGGTTTGGGTTTTCTTTAGGCTTCATTTCTGTCTTTCGTGCTGTGGACCAGCAGCTGAACCCCAAACTCTAAGCACTCTATACATTGCCATACGACTCCAACTTGACCTAGACCGTTACATAACGCATTTCGTGCGAAATGGAAAGGGCCTTCGGATGTACGTTATCAGAGTTAGGTAGGCTCGGCTCTGGTACAATTAGCACACTCACCGACGTAGTAGCCACATCTTAGCTAAGACGGCTGTTTGTGAGGTATACTCCGTAAACTAGGTAGGTAGGCAGGTAGGTCGGTACGTGAGGGGTGTTACGCCACTGTTTGGCCCCGCACACCGTCATCAGTTCCGCCCTAGGTACCTCCCTACCTCACCTCTCCTTGCACCGTTGCGGGCGTCACCTTCGTCTCGCCTCAATTACCTAAACCATTGCTTTGTCCACGAACCATTTTCAAGGCGACCATCTGCAGTTCGCCACCAAAGATGGCCTCTGATCTGGCCACGGCCATTCGTGGGCTACATCTTACGGATCGCCCCAATATGAACATCGATGACCTTTTGTTCCAGCAGCGTCCTCGCAAACGCGTCAAGCAAGATACATCTCATCTCAAGGCTCACCTAGAAGATGACTTTCTCACGCCGTCCACGAGATTCTCGTCCGCGTGGCTCAACCGACTGCAGCAGTGAGCCCTCTTTCCTGCCCAAACAGTTTTCTGCCCAAATGGCTATGAATGCGGCACTGACATGTCTCCCTCAGGCGCTGGGACTGCCCTGTGGATTACACGGAGCTTTTCAAGATCCCCCCCCCCCAGACCCGAACTGTGACGCGGTTTGAGCGACATGGCCTTGAGGGTAGAGTGACTGGTTACAGGAACGTTACCGTGCCCGCCAACAGTGCCACCGCCAAGAATTCCACCTCCTTCCTGCGCAAGCCTGCTAGTAGGGTCGACTTTGTTCGTGGAGCTGCCGGCTTTTTCCCTTTTGCGCCTGGCGGCCTGGATGGCATCGAGGCAACTGCTGCCCTTGAGGACCAGGTTCACCGAACTGGTGGCGGAGACTCCGCCGCTGTTCCATCCAACAAGCTGGAGAGAATTATTAAGCTCGGCGCTGAGAGCAGCCTTCTCCAAGTCGCACCTGGGCTGAGCCGCGGCATCAACATCAACAGGAAGACTAACGAAGATGAGGCTAGAGCTGTTGAACAAGAGTTATACCAGGAACCCGAACAGTCACCTAGTACTGACGAAGCAGACGGTGATGCGCAGGCTAGTGGAGAGCGGGAGGCTGGAGTCGACGCCAGAGTCGAGGCCGAGGCCGAGTTCGAAGCAGAAGAAGAAGACGGCGAGGACATTGATGCTATCTTGCCCGTCGAGTTTCCGGCTCTGGAGCCACATGGAGCTTTGGCGGCATCCAGTGCCAGGAAGGCTGGCCGGGAGTGGGCTCACATGGTGGACATCGACAGAGACATCACGAACTTCAGAGAACTCGTACCCGACATGGCAAGAGACTGGCCGTTTGAGCTGGATACATTCCAGAAGGAGGCGATTTACCATCTCGAAAGCGGCGATTCTGTCTTCGTCGCTGCGCATACTTCAGCCGGGAAAACTGTCGTCGCCGAGTATGCCATTGCTCTTGCTTCGAAGCACATGACCAAGGCCATCTACACATCGCCCATCAAGGCCCTGAGCAACCAGAAGTTCCGAGACTTCCGCCAGACATTCGAGGAGGTTGGTATCCTGACGGGTGATGTGCAAATCAACCCCGAGGCTAGTTGCCTGATTATGACAACGGAGATTCTGCGAAGCATGCTCTACAGAGGAGCCGATCTGATCCGAGATGTCGAGTTTGTTATCTTTGACGAGGTACATTACGTCAATGATTTTGAGCGCGGTGTTGTCTGGGAAGAGGTCATCATCATGCTCCCTGAACATGTTACACTCATTCTATTGTCTGCAACTGTGCCCAACACTTACGAATTCGCATCATGGGTTGGGAGGACCAAGCAGAAAGACATATATGTCATTTCTACACCGAAGCGGCCTATTCCACTAGAACATTACCTTTGGGCTGGCAAGAATATCCACAAGATTGTGGACTCAGAGAAGAAGTTCATCGAGAAAGGATGGAAAGAAGCCAATCAAGCCATTCAGGGCAGAGACAAGACTAAAGCTCTAGAGCCGAGCAATACGCCTCGCGGCGGAGGTGGCCAGAGAGGGGTCCAAAGGGGAGGACCACAGCGTGGTGGACAGCGTGGAGGCCCGCGCGGCGGCAGTCTTCAACAGAGAGGCCGTGGCGGAGCGCCGCGTGCCAGTCACAACCCAGGACACATGGGTAGGACTGGTCGGCAGGGCGGCTTCACCTCGGCGGCTCAAGACAAAAACCTTTGGGTTCATCTTGTCCAGTTTCTCAAGAAGTCCAACCTTCTTCCCTCCTGCATCTTTGTCTTCTCTAAAAAAAGGTGCGAGGAGAATGCCGACGCGCTCAGTAACCAGGACTTCTGCACCGCTAACGAGAAGAGCGCTATTCACATGACGATCGAAAAGTCGATCGCGAGACTCAAGCCTGAAGACCGATGTCTACCCCAGATCATCAGACTAAGAGAGCTCCTGTCGAGAGGTATCGCGGTCCATCACGGGGGTCTACTGCCCATCGTCAAGGAAATTGTTGAGATCTTGTTCGCCCAAACGCTTGTAAAGGTTCTGTTCGCTACAGAAACCTTTGCCATGGGGCTCAACCTGCCGACCCGGACAGTCGTGTTCTCTGGATACCGCAAGCACGATGGCCACTCGTTCAGGAACCTGCTCCCAGGCGAATACACGCAGATGGCGGGCCGAGCCGGTCGTCGTGGCTTGGATACTGTAGGCTTGGTTATCATTGTTCCTCCCGGAGGAGACGAGGCCCCGCCTGTTGCCGATCTTCAGAAGATGATCCTAGGAGAGCCATCAAAGTTGAGGTCTCAGTTCCGGCTCACGTATAACATGATTCTTAACCTGCTTCGGGTGGAGGCTCTCAAGATCGAGGAGATGATTAAGCGCAGCTTTTCGGAACACGCCACCCAGCAGCTTCTTCCTGAGCACGAAAAAGCCGTCAAGCTGTCAGAGGCCGATTTGGCCAAGATCAAACGCGATTCATGTGGTATCTGTGATGTCTCCATGGACGAATGCCACCAAGCGTCCGAAGACTACAAGCAGCTTACTGGGGAAGTCTACAAGTCTCTCATTGGAATTCCGATTGGTCGCAAAATGTTCAGCCAGGCGCGCTTGATTGTGTACAACAGAGACGGCATCCGCACCCCTGGTATATTGCTATCTGATGGCGCGAGCAACAAGGGCCCTCAGGGCAGTCCAACTTTGCACGTATGCGAGATCAGACTTATGAGAGAGACTCGTGACTCGACGGACCTGCTTCCGTTCATTCCGGCCTTCCGCAAGCATTTCACGCCACTGCCACAGGCAAAGAAGCATATACGCATCAAGACTCTGCATGTGCCCCTAAGCGATGTCGAATGTCTGACAAGACATGTTACCAAGGGCATCGTACCGGAAATATTCCAAAGTGGCGAAAAGTATCTAAAAGCAAAGGATAGGCTTCACTCCATCTGCCGGTCATGGGATGACCTTTGGGACGAAATGGACCTGTCAAAGATCAAGAACCTTCAATTTCAGGAGATGATGAAGAAGCGGAAGGAAGCAGAGGTCACCGCGTCATCCTCACCGGCGCTCTCCTGCCCCCAATTTTTGAAGCACGTAAGTGGATGAGTGTTTCTACTTGGACGATAGGAAATCACCACTAATTCGTCAACTCTAGTTTGCCATGTGCCATGACCAGTGGCTTATCAAGGAACATATCTCGCAATTGCAACATTCCCTGTCGGACCAGAACCTCCAACTCTTACCCGACTATGAACAACGAATTCAGGTGCTGAAGCAGCTTCAGTTTATCGATGAGAGTGCCAGGATTCAGCTCAAGGGCAAAGTGGCTTGCGAAATTCACTCAGGCGATGAACTTGTCTTGACAGAGCTGATCTTGGATAATGTGCTTGCAGACTACGAGCCGGCCGAAATCGCGGCCTTGCTGTCGGCCTTTGTGTTCCAAGAAAAGACAGAAACCCAACCGAACCTGACGGGCAATCTTGAGCGAGGCAAGGACACCATTATTGCTATCAGCGAGAAGGTCAACGAGGTCCAGACACTCCACCAAGTCATTCAGTCTGCAGATGACTCCAATGATTTTATCTCCCGGCCCCGGTTCGGCCTAATGGAAGTTGTTTACGAGTGGGCGCGAGGCATGAGCTTCAAAAACATCACCGATTTGACTGATGTTCTGGAGGGCACCATCGTGCGAACAATTACGCGTCTTGACGAGACATGCCGCGAGGTGAAGAATGCTGCTCGAATCATTGGAGATCCGGAGCTATATCAGAAGATGCAAACGGCACAGGAGATGATCAAGCGGGACATCACAGCAGTTGCCAGCCTGTATATGTAATTGGCATGATCATCAGGAGCAAGGTATCAAGCAACGGGAGACAACACCGAAATAAAAGGGGATATGCACCAGCGGAATAACCGGCGAGTTGTATTGGTTGATGACAGTAACAACTCACCCTCCTTCTATCTACGCTGTAGGGTTTCATCCCATTGCCAAGTCGAATGTCATGTTATTCAATAATCCCGTCTCCGTAAAAGATGCATATCGTGTACGTGCCTGCGACCAGAAAACGCCCAAGTCATAATGTCCAAAAGAGTGATGCCATCCCAGCTTGTTCAAATCAACAATGCCCAGACTTCCCGTCTTAAGCCCTCAAAGCACGCAACCTCTGCTGCAAAGCATCCTCCTCCTCGGCGGTGGGTTCATTTGAAACAAGCTCTTCTTTGGCAGGTGTTGCACTATTCAGCTCCGCATTAAGCTGCACGCCTGCATCGTCGGCCAACTTGCCCAGGAGCTCGTGGACGGCATCGTCGGAGACTTGCGCACTTGTGGATTGCGAGATGGCGTCTTGGTAGATGCCATTCGATACGGCGTACTCTTCGTTTTGTTGCTTGAATTGCTCGAGGGTAACGAGGGTCTAGGGAGGAGCATTGAGGTCAGCCAAACTGATGCACGTGGATTCACCCTGCCCAAGCTTTCCAAATTACCTTCTCGGGATTCATATTCTTCTGTGCCATGGACATGGTACGAGATGACTGGCCCATCATGTGTGTCATGCGGTTCATCGAGTTGTTAGCCTGTATCTGGGCGGCAGAAAGCTCGGCCATATCTGCCATCTGGTCCATTTGCTGAGCCAAGGCCTGCTTGGACAGGAGCATCTTGGCCTTCTGATATGCCTTGGCCGTTTCTCCTTTCTTCAGCAACTAAAAAACTCATCAGTAACCGCTTGTAACAGTGGCACGCCAATGAGCCGATGAATTCTTACATCTTGAATTTGTTTCTTTAGGATGGGGTCCTGTTTGGCCGCCTTTTGTGCTTCCCGCCGGGCCTGTTTCGCTTGGAACTTGTAGCGTGTCAGTATCTGGTCATCCAAGAGGACGGGATGGCGGGGTTCAGTTGTGCGAACGCGCGCGCAAATATCCCCCACAATCAATCTCCTCCCGACATACCCTAGCCTGAAATTCAACCTGCATATCTCGGGCAAGGGCTCGATTCGACATGGTGACCGGATGGATATCTCTTCGGGATCGGTTAATGGAATGGCGGGGTACTCGAGGAAGGTATCGCCGGTCGATGGCCGAATCTTTGGGGATCGATGAGCGATGTTGAACGATCCAGGCAGTTGCTACTAAAAGAAGTGTACGTTTTAGTCCATATGACAATGTTGAGGTCTTGATAGGCTTTCAGGTGACAGGTTATCGGACGGGGATGTAGTGTTCAAGGACCAACCACAAACTATCGGCGATGCCTTGGCCAGACAGACCATGGACGGCTCTTGATGGCTGCGCCATGTGGGACAGGTCTAGTGACACCGCCACAGCATGACGCAGCCAAGTAGGGAAATCTGCACCTAACCAGCCACAGCAACGAACAAGAGGCAAGGTGGGGCCAACGAGCCACGTCTGTGGCTGAACCTTCGGCATCGGTCGGTGCTAGAGGTCGGTCATCGATAATCCCGCGGGATGTTTCTTTTGCAAGTGAAGAACCAATCGCTGCTTTATCTGGGCTCGTTGCAGGATCCCACTTTGGAATGATGGACCTCGGATAGCAACAACTCAATAGAACGGCGGCAGGACAATATCGTTTCGAGATACCAGGGTTCCGTCACAACGAAAGATGATCTTACAGTTTCAATGTTGGTCATGCACTCGTATTTCCATCTCCCATATCTACCTACTTTAGGTACAAATACAAGGCGATCATCCTATTGAATGAGTTCGCGGGTGACCGTCAGAGTTTTATCTCGCCGTGGAGGTCAAGAGTACCCTTGAGATAGTAAGGTACTTTAAGCCTGGTGTTGACTGGCTGGTCTACCTGTAACTGCCTCATACAACCATCTCGCCATCTCTTCCCCATCTAACTAGCTGTATGTAAAAGATAGAAATAGAAAATAAAAATAAAAAAACAAAAAGGAAGAAGAAGAAGAAGAAGAAGGGGGGGAAGCATTGGCCAGACAGATACCAACACCCTCAAAGCTGCCAAGACCCGTTCCGGTAAAGCGGCGGTTTATTTTCTTTCCTGTCAACCCCGGCTCGGCTGGCGCCGCCATTTCCTTCTCCCGACCTTAAAATTCCCGTCCCCCGATAGTCGACGAAACCTTCCCCCGACCAGCCACTACTCCCCATCTTTACGTATTCAATCCTCAAGGACCGTATCTCCTCACTTCAGTCACGATGCTGGCTGCTCGTACCTTCGTTGCGCCCCTTCGGCAACAGTGCGTGCGCGGGGCCCCGCGTGCCGCCGCTGTCTCCCAATTCCAGGTGCGCGCAATTCGCCTTGCTTGTCCCGCGATCCGCCTGACGAGGCCCATGCACGAAGCCTCGAGGGGCCATGGCAGGATAGCCATTGAAGTAAAGCCACAGGCTAACAGCCGATCAGAACTCCAGATTTTACTCGAGCGAGCGTGTCGCCAAGTTCCACGGTGTCAAGGACTCCAACGTATGCCGTCCCAATCTTCCTCCGTTATTATCCGGCCCATAATTATTTCCGCGCAAAGACCTCGGCTGTGTTGGTTCTGGGCACCCGACTTCAACACTAGACTGTCCTCTGCCCTCAACTTGCAAGGTTGATTGGGAATGTCCATGTGAAGAAACAAGGTGCTCTGGCGAAAACTAGTGTTGTCTGTTTGGTCTGCGTGGTGGTTCAAAATCACTCAACTGGCGCAACTGTTTGGATAGCATCAATTGACTGACCTGCTGTGTTACAGGGCAACTACCCGGTCAGCTTGATTGAGGGGGACGGCATCGGTCCCGAGATTTCCCAAGCTGTCAAGGACATCTTCGCCGCAGCCAAGGCCCCTGTCACTTGGGAGCCCGTCGATGTCACCCCCATTCTCAAGGACGGCAAGACTGCCATCCCCGATGCCGCCATCGAGAGCATCAAGCGCAACAAGGTCGCCCTCAAGGGACCCCTCGCCGTACGTTGAACAAGAGTTCCCGCAAATATGGCTCGTACCTCTAATACGTGGTGCTTTTAGACCCCCATTGGCAAGGGCCATGTCTCCCTGAACCTTACTCTCCGACGTACCTTCAACCTTTTTGCCAATTTGCGCCCCTGCCGCTCTGTCGCTGGCTACAAGACCCCCTACGACAACGTCGACACTGTCCTGATCCGCGAGAACACTGAGGGTGAATACTCGGGCATTGAGCACGTCGTTGTTGATGGCGTCGTCCAGTCCATCAAGCTCATCACCCGTGAAGCTTCTGAGCGCGTCCTGCGCTTCGCCTTCCAGCAGGCCCAGGAGATTGGCCGCAAGAAGGTCCGCGTCGTCCACAAGGCCACCATCATGAAGATGTCGGATGGTCTCTTCTTGAAGACCGGCCGCGAGGTCGCCAAGGACTACCCTGACATCGAGTTCGACGCCGAGCTTCTTGACAACACCTGCCTGAAGATGGTTACCGACCCCCTCCCCTACAACGACAAGGTCCTCGTCATGCCCAACCTGTACGGTGACATTCTCTCGGACATGTGCGCCGGTCTGATCGGTGGTCTCGGCCTTACCCCCTCGGGCAACATCGGTGACGAGTGCTCTATCTTCGAGGCCGTCCACGGTTCCGCCCCCGATATCGCCGGCAAGGGTCTGGCCAACCCTACTGCTCTGCTCCTGAGCTCCATGATGATGCTGCGTCATATGAGCCTGGGCGAGTACGCTGACAGAATCGAGAAGGCTGCTTTTGATACCCTTGCGGAAGGAAAGGCCCTGACTGGCGACTTGGGCGGCAAGGCTAAGACCCACGAGTTTGCTGGCGCCATCATTTCTAAGCTGTAGATAGCTACCTGTAGACTGTACGATCTTAGAGATGACGGGTTCTTCTTTCCTTTGCGTTAGCCATAGTCGTTGAATGAGTTGATGAACTCCCAAGCTGGTTTTTTTTTGTCGTTTTTTGCGTTTGTTTCCCCGCGAGTGATGCAAAAAGGTTGGACGAGAATGGAACCCTCTTTGAGCGACTGGCAGCATTGAAAGCGGTATGGCGGCAACAGGTGTAATTAATCAATTGGACCGTGTTAGTCAAAATATCTAACACATGCTCTGCTTCTGAGGGTGCTGTGAGGCCTGGGCCTTTGCAGGCGCTTTGTTTTTTGGCTGAATCACTCAATTCTCAAAGATTTATACAGGGTGTTGACATCCTGAGGAAAAGCCAAGAATCTTGAGTGATCTAAGAACAAGCAAATCAAGCACTAATCCTCAGCCCCCTCCTCTAGGTATCGTTCTGCTTTGGCATATTCTGCCCCCTAAAACTTGACTTGCTTGGCATACAATGGCACCGCAGCTACATCCCAGTCACGTCTGCAAGGCGTCAGGGACTCAAAGGGGCGATGGAGTGACCGCCTATCTACCTACTTACCTGTTGCCTATTAGCAACAACATTTATCTGGTACTTATACTATAACTTCTTGCTTACGTACATTACTGTCCTATATTTGCCACTTCTAGATCCCTGTTTCTGCCAGTACACTATACCTGCTACAGCGGCCGCGATACTCCTTACCGTTAGCCCGATAATTAGCTTTATCCTGATCCCGCCAGTGGATACGGTACTTGCCAACCGCCACAAATCAGCTGTCAGGCAACCAGTGAGACCTTGCTCAGCAAGGACGCTCTATTGACTGCCGCAGATCCGTAGCGTTGGCTATTGGATGGGTCCTGGTTCCAGAACGTGACTCATGAACCAAAGACATGGGTGTGGCATTTATCATGCTTGTTGTATGATCTTGCCAACCGCATGACAAAAAAGATAGCACACCTAAAGTACTTTCTCACACCGCATCTACCCTAAGACTATTAACAAGTGTTTTTTCTTATACTAACACAGCCACAAGACGCAGTTAGGATATAGGGAAAATATATTTAATAGTGGGTAGAACGTACTAGTATTAAGTATGGCTATTTTATATAGGTATATCTATATATTTAGTGCTGTGCTATTTATAATAGTGCTGGGAGTGTTTAGGTGTGCCATCTTTTTTGTCATGCGGGTGCTTGCATCCTCTTTCTCTAATAAAAAAACCTCTAGTTGCGCTCACCAATAAGCTGGTCTGCGCTACCTGTACACTACTTTACGAGGTCAACAGCACTGACAAACTTATTCTTCAAGAACACATAGGTGAGCTGCAGGTATTAAGAACAGCAACAGCTTGGCTCAAGAGACTTTAAGCCTCCTGCGTACCTATTTGTATGCTTTCTTAGATTGATCTACATGGAAGTAGTGTGGTTATAACCAGCAACAAGTCACGGCAATTCACAGACATAATTCATGGGACCCCGATACTACCAACATACATTTCTGCGGTATAGAGCAATCGGACGTATACTACTACTACTTCGTAGTGTATCCGTACATTACTCCTCACTTTGCAAGCTCGGAAAACGCGTTCTATCGTCAACGTCTGTGACCTACCGTATACTCGACTAGCATGACTTCCACTTCTATTCAGGTTGACCTATGAAGTATCTGAGTTAACATCTGAGCCTCGTTTTCTGTTGCTATGCTAGCTTTTTCTGATAACCGCCTTACTTATTTACTCATTGTTGTTAGCCCCGATTGAAGTGGAAGTCTGGCACACGGGTTGCAGAAAAAAGTGCACACTATTAACAAGTAGGTAGGTCAAATGCCCCAGCAACTTAAAGAGATTATCAAAAGAGAGGGCAAAGTAACACCAAATTGATAGATAATGTTATAAGCATTTAAAATCGCTTAGATATCAATGTTTAGATTCTCATGGTTCTATTCATAGGGGTAGAGAAAGCAAGCATTTGGTGTGGTTAGGCTAAAGTGTGCACTTTTTTTTTGTAACCCGCGTGTCTGGTTAGTCGAGTGTATCCGGTATTGCCCGTGTACATGTATAGATACCTGTGGGGACCAGTACCAGGGGTAGGGAGAGGACAGGGAACGCGGCACAGGGTACCAGCGCTTCAAGGCAGGTGGCGTCGATGTACACGATAACAAACGTGGGAAGAGCCTTATGTAACGAATATGCGTATCTGATATCTACGTAGCAGTTTATAGTGATAAACTTTGGTATACGAATACGTCTACCGCCTCCTTTCCTCCACCGCAACCCCGCCGCCCTAAAATGTGGCTCGCTGACCTATCCCTATCGCATCTATTCGGTAGCTCCAAAGTTGGTGGTCGTTTGGCATTGCCCTTGTGTCAGGTTTGTTAAATATGGAACTGTCATTCGACTTCATTTGAACGAACAGGTGAAGATGCTGGTGCAGGTAAGTGGTGTATGAATCGTACTGACCATGAGGAAACCACGAACAATCCACCACTTCCGGGTCCAAATGTCCCCTTGTCTATCTCTGTTTCAATGCACGGAATTCGGAACTGATGGTGGGGTGCCGCCGACCAAGTCAGTGACCGTCATTCTTACTCCGCTATGAGTATCCCATCATCCTAGTCACGCAATAGACCTAGGTAGTGTAGTATCCTGCCACAATTACGGAGTCAATGGAGCGACATTACGCTTCAGCTGCTGCAAGAACGCGCGCCTCGTCTCAGTATACATGTGCCGGGACTCCATCCGCCCCACTGGTCAACCTAACGTAAACTAGTGTCTGGAATAGAACGTCTTCGTTTCCTCATGGGTCACCGCTTGGCTCCATCATCGTTAACATTTGGTTTGTCCATTGCGGGACGCGTATGCGTGGCAGGTGGATGGCTGCAGGGTGGCCTCGAGCAGTCCATGTGCTTCATATGGGTTGAGCATCTCGTGCTGGTGGCGAACTGGAAGGATAACCGGGACGGCAGCTTCGGTATCCGTACCTACTATATGAATGAAGCTATGACCGCTCGAACATTTGCCGTTCGTTCCATGCGATCACGTATCTAGCGTGAGAGCACTCGACATGCCTTGCCAATCCGTCCGCATAATGGGGCGATCTGGAGCGAGGATGGGGTTATCGGTACACGAGTACACGGCTTATGGGAACAGTAGTCCACCCTTGCGAGCACTATGGTTTTTCCCGAAGACAATGTCAGTTCCTGAGGTAGTATCTGCCCAGCGTACAAGATTTCATGTCTTGCATCCTGTCTATAGAGCCCTCACACGACAGGATCCCAGTTGCCATGAGTTCCCTTGACAATACCTTCGATCTCCGAAGTCACCCATCCACCATAAAAGTCGCCTGGCTGAGGCTGAACGGCTTCGCCATCGACGAAGCAATCCCACGGATCAGCGTAGAACGAAAAATGTCCCTTGATCGCTTCAAAAGTTGGCGTCGGAGACTCGTATGACCAGATACGGTTGAGCACGATCTCTGGCTTCCCGGTAGATAATGATCCTGGCGCCGTGATGGAGTAGTAGGTTGCGGCACCTTTCCACTCACAGAACGTGGTTCTAGGCATCCGTTCCAATGGAACTCTGACCGAAGCCGGCGGAAAATAATACGCTATTGCTGATGTTAGAAACGACAGTCGCGGTTGTTTGTACCTATCCAAACCAACGCTGGAAGACGAACTAGGCGGATGATGAGTTTCTAGCACCATGTAGGCATCTCTGGTGTCTGCTATCACTTGGCCGTTCCAGAGGATCTGCAAACGCCGAGATACCTTTTCCAGCAAGGGCGGCCGGGGAAACGACTGTACATTCATCTTTATGTGCGCAGCCATTGTTGAAATTCGTAGTTTGTTGTCCTCGAACAAACCTTGTTCACGGGGATCCAAAGGATTGCTATTGCACGTTAAACCAGAAGTAACAATACCCATCCAGAGGGCACCATGCATTTCAGAACCGAAATAGGTAATACAGTGCTCCAGTATCTAGCATAATCTCGGTGTCAACCTAGCCGGGTTGCTGCTTGGAAGCATCATAGACTGTGGCACACCAAAGGCCCCGATACTGAGGCACTAGTGACAGATGCCTTCAGAGAGCCCCTCTCCTCCCCCATCTTCTCAACAATTAAGGTTTGCGCCCACCATGCTGACACACTACCTAAGACTTAACACATGCTAGAGCACCTACCCGGAGGCATTAGTCAGCCTTTGGATATGCTAAATGCTGATACCTAGTGTGTGGCTCTTCAGTGTATCCCTCCTAAGATCAGGAAGCTTTCGAGTCAATCCTACATGACGCTGACAGCGATCTGAATCAATACATCCGCTCGCTTCTTTTCCATCAAATTTTTTTTTTAAGACTGAAGCGATCGGAGTGTCCAGAACCAGCCCCATTCAGCCGCGAAGTCCTCAAGACCTCCTAGGCCAGAATGGTCGACCATTGTAGTGGGTCCGAGTTGCGAAAGTCTGTCCATGGCCACTGGTGCCGGAGGAACCAGCGGGTGGCTAAGTTTAGCAACGCGACGCAACGAATGAATGCGGCGGAGTACTCCGTAGTGTTGAGGGACCTGTCAAGACGGACAAGATGACAGGCATTCCCCGCCACTTTCGCAATCATCCATCAGCCGTCAGCCAACTCAGCGATGTCCGGGCACGCTGAAGACGTGAAGAGGAGGACCGGTGACTTGGCGGGTATCCCCTCAACATCAAAGAGCATCCACTCCTGTCATTAGAGGTAGTGGTGGCCGCCAACCTATTACCTTTCGTGGTTGCCATCCGTCGAGATTGCGGTCGCCGTCGAAGAGGGTACATAATTCATCTCGGAACGAGTGTCCGGAGCGGCACTGAATTGAGGTTTGCCTAGAATTGTAGCCGAGTCGGTTGTACGGATATTTGTACGCATATTCCTCCCTAGTCTGTCTGGTTCCATAGGTATTAGATAGAGTGTGTATGGAAGACACCCGGAACGAGAGAAAGGAGTGCCCCTGAAAGATGCGCTGGCTCCGTCTGGCATGTTGCGCCAGGCGTGTTTCCGTTCCGTGGCTCCCGTGTTTCCTGTTTAGGTCATCCACCACCACCCACCAATACGGCTACCAGAGACTTTGTTTTGTTTTTGACACAAGCTCGTTTACCTGACGAGAGGTGGAAGAGGCGAATTGCTCGACGAGACGCTGGCTTTTGCTTGGGTGGTCAGAGGCGGACGCGAGGCAAATTCCAATGTCAAACCCTCAAGAGGACAGGGAGAAAGGAAGGGAGCAGGGAGGAGCGGTGCGACCACGAGAGAGGTATCTATCTAGGTACCTGGGTAGGTATGCATCAACAAGGTAGGTGGCTTTGAACCTCAGAATCATGTCCCACAATCTCCATCGTCTGTGGAAGGAATCCGAGCCAGTGAAACCGCTGAGCCATACTACACTATCACTTCAGTCGAGCAAATCCACCAATGACTCTCTGCTTGCTACAAAGTATCCATCTCCTTGCATCCACCTTTCAACCTGACTCAACCTTCCTTCCTGAGGTTTGGGCATTGCTGAGTGAGCCATGCACGTGCTAAGGCGTATGAAGTACCTGAGGAGGTAGGTACTTATTTCTGGCAGGTCCGCCCGTTCCAATCTGGACGCGTCCCTCGCCCCTGAGAATGAGACTGCGTGATCGCCCCACCAGCTTCGGAAGAAGTAGTAGTGTAATGTACTTCCAGGCCCAGACGTGTTCTCCTGCAGCACTACCACACCAAACAAAGTACGGAGTATCCGTACACTTGCTATGTACCTACTCCTGAATCTCACCCTTGCTTTCGCCCCATGGGCCCCTATCCTCGCCCTTGGGGGCTTGGGGCTTAGGACAGCATGCCTGAGGCATCAACTGCTGTTGCGTCCCTCCTCTAAGCTTCCAAGGGGTAACGGGAGCCAAGGGCCAGCGTGTTCTCAAGTTACAAAAGAGGCCACATTGCCTGCTTCCCATCCCCCATTTTGAAAACCACATTGCCCCAGGACAAACCCAAAGAACACTCTGTTCTTTCCATTGCACCCACGCATCCAAGCATCTCCAGCCTATTCCACAGCGCTGGTGCCTTGCTTTGGTGACTCATTTAGCACAGTCTGACTCATCCACGGAGTCAATACAGCCCCATCATGCCTTCTACTTAGCACGGCTGCCTTGGCTACATCTTTGTTCTATTGAGGAATTAGGACGGCACCTCAATATTGCATAATCCTATCCACCATTCCCCGAATTCAACCCCCGGATCTGTCACCCCACCCGAGGGAGCACGACTACATCTTCCCCCAAGACCTCCTATCAACTCAACTCGAGAGCTGGATGCGAGAGTGAAATCTGCAGACAGTAATTTTTCAACGGTCGCACATCCATACCCTCACACAATGGATTCCTGGGAACAAACATCACCAATGATCAAGTTTGAGGACTCACCGGCGGAGTCATTCGTATCGACACCCGGCGAGCTCTACCCTTCGCTGTTCGGTGATGCGAACTCGGCTCCTGACAACACGGTCGATCCTTCAGACATGATGACACCCCCTTCCTTCAACGACGACGATGACGCCGGCGTATCAGCGTCCCCCTCGACGACTCCTGCCCCTCCGGGAACCGGATCTGCCTCCCCAGATAAGAAACAAACTAAGAAAAGAAAATCATGGGGCCAGGTTCTCCCTGAGCCTAAGACAAATCTCCCCCCCAGGTAAATCAATATCCCCACTTGTGCCAACCTCTTTCAAGGCTAACAAAGTTGATCAGAAAACGTGCAAAGACGGAGGACGAAAAAGAGCAACGCCGTGTGGAGCGTGTACTCCGCAATCGTCGCGCTGCTCAGTCATCTCGTGAACGAAAGCGTCTTGAGGTGGAGGCTCTTGAGCGACGGAACAAAGAGCTTGAATCGGCTCTTCAGAACGTCACAAAGGCAAATCAGCTTCTAGTCGAGGAACTGAACAAGTTCCGTCGTGACTCGGGAATGTTGACTCGGTCTTCATCCCCTCTTGACCCTCTTAACGGCAACTCTGTCACTCTGTCTCAGGAGCTTTTCAGTCCCCAAGACGGCCACCAACCTTCGATGGCCGAGACAAAGTCTCTAGTCGATAACTTAATGACTTCGTCTCAACCCAATGCCACTGTCAATCCCGCTTCACTATCCCCGGAGCTTTCGCCTATTCCCGAGAGCACGAAGACGAATGTCGCGGAGCAGCAAATGGCCGAGACCTCTATTGCGAAGTCTACCTCTGACCTGACACAACGTCCTGCAGCGATGTTGTGCGACCTGCAGTGTCATCTGTCGGAGGAGCTTCCGCAATCATGGCTGGCCTCTCAAACCCCTCTGCATCCGACGTTGGCCTTCTATCTGCAGCTTCAGACGCTGTTACTCGGTTCGGCGGTGATCCTTTCAGTATGTCAACGGCCCTTGACGCAGATCGCTATGTCCTTGAAAGCGGGATTCTCTCTTCCCCCAACTCCCTCGATTACGAAAACGATTATCTGGCTGGTGACTCTTCCACCTTCTTCCAGGACCCGTTCGACATCAATGAGTTCCTTCACGATGAGGTCAACGGCACAGCCGTCGCAGCGGACCCGGAATTCGGCGGCGATCTTGCCAACTCTGAGACTCAGGTCTCTTCAGAGAATCCTAACCTGCAGCCCCAATCTGGCGCGTCCACTTATGGATGCGACGATGGAGGCATTGCGGTTGGTGTCTGAAGGATGTGATGATCGGGTTGAGGGATTGGCAACTGAACATACGGCGCAGCGCGACAGCTCCCATCGGCCACATACTTGGCTGGCTGGCGCGCCGTTACCCTCCAAGGAGGTTCTCATGACGTTACTCTGGGCTCTGAGGGTCGAAGAACGAAAGATGATCCTCGGAGGCTTACTCCCAAATAATACCGTGTCTCCCAACCCGACGGACAGCACTTCAGCACCGCCCAAAAACATTGTGATTACTGTGTCTTCCAAGAGGAAGCGAGCAGAGGACGATACAAATGGATCAGGGAAGCGTTTTCAACTAGCATGATTAAGGGCCTAGGAAAACGGTGTATCACGGCATGAAGATCATGTCCAGTGAGATTCGAGGCATGGCTTGAATATGTAACATTGTATCTTGTTGAATGAATAGTCGCCAAGCGACCAATGACCACTACCCTACCACTGCCCTTTGTGACCGCTTTCACTTGCTCGGTATCTGGATGGTTGCATCGCGACATACGTTGCGTGATGCGATTTTGGCAATGGCAGGATGGGCAACCCTCTACTAATGGTCGTTGCGAAAAGACGTGGGGAACTCCATACATGCATGCCCTTACTCCAATGTAATTTGTGCCGGGTCCAGAGTCATCATTGCTACCCAAACTTATCCCACTGCAAACGCTCTTAAACTGAGCCCTTTATTACCACAGTCCATCCATCTCTGCCATGGCTGCTTCTTCATCGGCAAAATCGTCCGTGACGGACTTCACACCTGGCGCCTGCCGAGACTGTGCCTGTGCCTGTGCCTGAGACGCAGCTTCCGCCTCGGCCATCAGTGCGTCGAGATCGTCGTCCTCAGGTTCTTCGATAGGCCGCTTCGATCGTTCTTGTTCCCGCCGTCCGACCGGCACCAGAGGTGTTGCTCCATAGATATCATGATCATCTGGCATGTATCCTCCTTCTGGTGTTATTGGACGCTGTTCCTCTGTGCCCATTGTTACGGCGGGCGCCAAGGGCGTCATGTCTTTTTTCTGGCCCGTCGACTCGTTACCTTTTTCCATCTTGTCGTCGTCTTCCTCCCAAGGTTTAGGTTTGCCCTCGTTGATCCAATCCATGCGTTTAAGGGCAATTTGCTTCTTATGCCCGGCCTTTTCGACCATGGCTAGAGCATCAAGAAATTTGGCTTTTGGGAAGAGATCGTCAAGCCAGAGCTGATAAAAAGCCAGAAGACGAGCTGCATCAGAAAACTGGGAATAAACATGTCAGTATTTTATGGGCATGCAACGCTAGTTATGACGCTTACTTCATGTCCCCTGCCCTTGAATCTGAGGTTCGTGGCGCGTTTCCGAAGCTTGGGTATTCCGTTCTCGGATAGCAGTCTGGTCTGGTTGTCAGTTGTGGGGGGTACAGGTAAAAGCGTGAGTGAGCAACTCACCGAGTCTCGTCCAACTTCACTCGGGGTACTCTCACTCGCTTTGCTACCTCGACCTCTTCGTCAAGCCCCAGGGCTTCTGCCTTCTTCCTCTTGTTTCTGCTGTTGCCATCTCTTACTTCAGGTGGTGGGGACTGAAAGGGGTCATCAAAATCATCGACATTGTAGTTATCGAGATCGTCATGATGGAGACTTGTTTTGGGGTCCATATCAGGAGCCTCGTTGCGTTGTGAATACCAAAATATCGCTGAACATGCGACGCGACATGTGAATTAGGCACGCGTCTTTCAATTAAGCTGATACGACGCGCTGGTGACTAAAGCCACGCTGAACAGGGTGGGGCAAAAAGCCACATCATTATGGCCTGTGCGTATCCTCCTGATTTGGTGCCTCAGGTATTTTCGTAGTTCAGTCCTAGCCAGCACCCATCTGTATCCAAATCAACGTCCATTTGGAACGTTAAAAGCTCCCAGTACCCGATCATTGACGCAATTGGGTCACGAATTGCCGTCTGCTACAATGGCTACCGCGCAAGCCCAGACATTCGCTCCGACCAAGGTCGTCAAGAGCGACTACCCCGTACGTTATCCCTGTTGTGGCATACGTTCTTTAGAACGGCAGGCCTTGGCTAACGACTCTCCATGCAAAGCTCATTGACAATGACCCGTACAGTCCAATCTACCCCGTCGCGTCGTTTGCTTATGACTTGAAACACTAATGATCATCACCGGCCTTTAGTCATTTTAAGAGAGTCATCGGGTATGCCCGACCTTCGGATTACCTCCACGGAGCCGTAGCTGCCGCCTTCGGCCCGGCTGCTCTCCTTGCCCTCGAGAAATTCGCTCCTTCCCATGTTGGCAAAGGAGGTATGGCCCAGGCCATGCGACTGGCTGGTGCTGTTGGCTTGGCTGGAGGTTTCCTGTACTTCTACCAGCGCTCAAGCTGTAAGTGATGCCTACATACGGTGGCGCCGGCGGAGGGTGGCTGTTGGGCGCAAAATGCTGACTCAATGATTGACAGTACGATTCTACGGAGCCACCGAGAATGCACGCGAGGTTGAGATGGACATGAAAGAGATGGTAGCAAAGGTCAAGGCTGGTGAGCCTCTCTACGGAGAGAGCAGGCTTACACCCCACATGCAAGGTATTGCGGCACGGCAGTCAAGATATTCGGCCTTGTTCATGGGTGTCGTGCCCTGGTTCAATTTTGTCAATCATAGCCAGCATGGCATCGATACAGCCAAATACTATCAGCAGGCTGAGAGGGAGCTTGAGGCTGAGCGTTTGCAAAAGGGCAGCTCATAATCTTCTGTGTTATCACCAGCATTGGGCAGGGATAAACTCGGCAAGCTGTATGTACTATAACTTTGACGAGTAAGCGGTGGGCCATGACTGATTACCCATTTATCTGAAGCCGGTCTTGTCTGATTTATTTCCCGGTTTTCCCGTTGCGCTGAGCATTTCCGCTGCCCTTGAGAATTGTCCGCTTGGCCGGTGTCAAGAAGCTACACGTCTCTAATTGATAACATAGCTGGGATTTCCTAGCTATTGAAAACGATCACTACTCAACCTCCAAAACTGAAACGGAAGGACCGGGCGTCCTGGGGATGTTTGAATGTGACCACTCGCGATGGCAACTGCTCCTCAGTTTCTGAGCGCAGCTTTGCAATCCTAAAACCCTCTTGTTGTAGCCTTCGGCTGGGGCCTATGGCCTTGTATTGTGTGTGTGTGTAGAGCTTCGGCCAATGGCGACTTCCACTCCAGCGGCCGGCCGGCCTGCCGTCGTTCGTGTGTGGATCCAGGCCACGGTTGACGTGAAGTCAGATTCAGCAGTTTCTCTGCGTTGTTGGGTATTCTATACCATAGTAACAGTTTTTGATCTGATACAGGTTAGAGGTGCCCCGTATCGGGTTTTATGTGCCGTGATTATGTATCCGGCGAGCTGCACGAGACCGCCTTATGGAGATATAGAGCGACTATATCCATCAATAATAGCCTTCGGCCGTGCGGATGGCATTCACTGTCCGTCATCGTGCTATGTAGAACCTACAGCAGCTAAAGACCAGGTACTGTAGAAGAGCAGGGGACGTGAATGCTGTTTCTTCAAATAACAGCAGCATGTTGAAAACAGCCCCACCGTTGGATACTTTGACGAGTTTAAAAGCATGCTTCATAACCCCTTGTGTGCACTTGAGGAGTTCCGAAACCAATGCAGCTTGCAGGTCCGAGTTGACGCATTCTTCCACTGATACCGTACTGCTGCTTGCTAGTCTTGGATAAGATAAGCCGCTTCCGGAACCTCCCAGGGCTGGCTATTGTCAAAGTTCAGTTTGAGCTACCGCTGGTATGTTGGTTATTACCCAGTAAGTGCCCATCGCCAGCAGCCATCCCTTTCTTGGCTACAGATGGTCAGCCCAAAGCTGTGCTGCTAAGCACCATCTGACTATTACCGGAGTAGTCCAAACCTCCCTCTTTCAGGAATGGTGGCTGACTGACCATCGGGTTGTTGAAGACCTCGAGGACCCCAAGCTGACAAGCTGATGAGGATGTCTTCCAGTGCTAGACCTTACTACCACAACAGTGACCCTTCAGTGCAAATATCACTCAGCTGACTCAACACCAGTAGCGAGCATCTTCAACAACTGGTTCGCTCTCCGAAGCGACGGGCAGTGTGTACCGGGGCTACCATTGCAAAGTAACAGGGAAGGGCTTTGATGCAGACATCCTGCGGTGTAGTAAAGGCTGCTGAGCTTCGGAAAATGAGACCGGTACATAATAAGGAACCGGCACGCATTGCTACCACAACAGTATCGGCGTTGACGTAGCCCCAACTGCGGTAGCAAGCGGTAAACGACGTCTCATTGAAGGACGGAGGGGTTTACTTATTTATTTTATCACTGTCCATATCATCATCATCATTCTCTGGCATCATTTCTCTACCAGAACCGCCTCCATTGAAAACACGTCTTGATTGTTGTTATAATTCACAATGGCAATGTTACTTTTGTAAACCCACATATCACAATCACCACAACCATGATACTCCACCCACTTACCGAGTAGGTGGACTACTCCGTCTGAAGCGACATAGTCTAAGGGTGGTTTTCTCCCACCGGGTTTATGCCCTCTAAACCAATAGTGTATATAGACAGTGTACATATTGAATATTTAGTGTGCTTGCCGACCTTACGAGGGAACGGCTTGTACCTGCGTCTTCGTAACTTTTGTGGACGACATGTTGGCATTGGCCGCCAAAATTGAAAACACGTGGAACACGAGACGAAAGTCGGGTTTCTTGTCAAAATGGCAGAATGTAAGATCCACAGGCCGATTTTAGCAACTGGATGGATACCTTTAATTATAGTAATAGGGGCTCGCTCATTTAGTGGCTGCTCATCTTGGTGGCGGGGTTGCATTAGGTGATTGGTCAGCCTGATTTGTTTGTTTGGAATACCTACCGTAGTTCGAGGATTGGCAAAATAGTACGGATAATGGCAAGGCAGTAAGTAACCCTTGCTGGTATACGCTTATCCGTCCGTATTAGGGTCAGGGCCAAGGCGCTGTTGGATTTCTTGGTGGGATTGCTTTAACCTAGGCAGTTGCCTAGGTATGGCGCAGCCAAGGACGAGGCCTCGGTCCTCGTTTTTCAGAGCTCACTCACTCTCCTTTTTCCCTCTTCTCTTCCTCCTCGCCCACCTACACACTTCAGTCGCACTCACTCTTTAGGCATCCTCCTAATCGCCTCCTTCTCCTCCTCTGTTCCTTCCACCGACAAAATAAGAACATCATGGATGGCTAAGATTGACTCCGTGTATCGCTCGTTTGTACCTGTTTATACTATTGGGATCTTTCATCTCCATCGTTTGTTACGCCGCCCCTGCATTCTGACCTCATTTCCGTTACGCGCCCAATCAAATCATGACATTCTCGTTACACTCCACCATTCTGGCCTGTTTGGCTGTTTTTTATTTCAGCGGCATAGTAGCCGCCAATGCAGGTGATGTCAATCTTTGTGGTCAATCCGACTGGTGGAACGCGACCGATGTTCCTTATTCATGTGCGTTGCCTTGCATTCGAGAATTGATGCTGCTGGTACCAGGTCTCAGTGCTCATCGAGCCTTAGTACTAACGCTCACGCAGTCAACAACAATGCCTGGGGCAATGACAGCTCGGGATACCAGTGTTTATCCGTCCATGACAGCGGTCGGAGCTTCAGCGTCGCTTACAAATGGACTGGGGACGCATCTCTCGTCAAAGGGTACCCATATATGAAGGCACATCCGACCAGGCTCCCCGTCCAGCTATGGAATGTTACCCAACTGCAGGTCACTGGGAGCTGGCAGACCTTTGTCACTGGCAAGGAAAAGGCCAGCGCTGACGAGCAGGCAAAAGCCTTTGACGATGTCTCCCTATACGCCAATGTCGCCGTTGACATGTTCTTGTCTGACAATCGAGAAAACTCCACCATGGTCGGCGCTCCCATTGAGATCATGATCTGGCCTTGGTGGACACCGACTGTGAAGCCTTTGGGCTGGGGTGAGTCTACGCCAGACAAGGATACTGTCACTATCGACGGCACGCCATTCTCTCTGTATCACGGCTGGAACGATGGAGGACAGCATGTTTTCTCCTGGCTAGCCCACACCAACCTCACCAAAACTGACGCTGACTACGGGCCTTTGCTCCAGTACATCTGGAAAAGAGGTATGCTGTCTGGCGCCCTCTGGCTAGGACAGCTCGAGCTGGGAACAGAGATCAAGCATGCTATGGGGGATATGCATTTCGAGGCTAGTAATTACACCTTGAAAGTCGTACGACATGGTGATCCAGAGGACAGGACATCCACCACCTCGACAACCTCGGCCGCCCTCAGCAGTGCTGCAACTATGACATCACACTTAGTAACTACGACTACTGAGGCCCTTACTACCGCTATTACTACCCCAACTAGCACCAGTATAGCGACACGAATTTTAGGCTTAGAAAGACTAATGTTATGGTGTTTAATAACTATAGTAATACTATTAAGCTAGATATATTATATAGTATTTTTAAAAATAATCTATAATAAAAGTAGTAAGTCTATAGTCTAATATTATATAACTTCTATTAGTAGAAATTTTACTTTATCTATAGTATATATATATATATATATATATATATATATAGTAAGTTCTATATATAAAAAATAAGAAATATATTATAATAAGTAATTTACTTTCTAATTTTATGTTAAAAAGTAGGTTTATAACTACTCTACTTATTAGAATAAATATAACTTTATATAATATATATAATTGTTAAACAAAGTAAAGATATACGTAAATTCACTAGTAAATACATAGTTACCCTATAGTAGATTGCTAGGGAATAAGTAGGGAAATCGCCTTACTTTAATAGTAATTTTACTAATAATATCACTAGGATTAGCCTAGGATTTCCTAACTAAGAAATAAGGGGATTTCCTTACTCTTATAGGATTTTACTATAGTTATATATATAATAATTAATTAACTATTATAATTCTTACTATTTAATAATTAATAGTCTAATATATATATTTATAATAACTATTATATCTATTTACTAAATAAGTATTATTATAATAATTAATAAAAGTAATAATAATAAGATAACTATTTTATAGTTATATAGTAATTAGTTTCTATAACTTAACGCTATCTAAGTAAGTATAAAGTATTATAATCTCTAGAAATATATTAATCTAGAAGTTATAGTAGTACACTAATTAGTCCTTAATATATATCTAAAGAAACTATTAAAGCTATTAGTAATATAATATCTATATATATTAACTATAAATAAGCTTACTACTTAATAAGTAATTACTATAGTTAGAGTAATTATAAAGATATTATAGTATATAACTATATAACTATATATAGTAAGAAGTAAGGCTATTATAGCTATACCTAATAGGCTTATATATAAGTCTAAGTATATAATAATACTAAATAATCTAAGTTTATATAATCTTATATACCTAAATAGCTAGATAAGTTACTATTATAAGGAAATATATAAATATACTACTTACTAAGAGAATATTAAAAATATAGCTAAAGTTAAATCTATATAAGAGGTTAGCCTAGTTACCCTTTATAAGGCTATATATAGTGTATTTTAAGCACTTAGTGCCTAAACTAATTAATCTTTTAGTAATACTAGAATAGTCTATTAACAGGCGTAGTATACTACCTATACTTTTATAATTATTTAGGCACTAAGTAGGTCTTCTAGCTAGACAGGGGCTAGGTTCAAATCCTAACTATTACGCGCTCTCTTTAGTGTAGGCCTTAAGGGGCTAGAGGTTATTAATTAATAGATTAGTTAGCTAGGTATAAATAAGGGGCAGCTTATGTTAGGCTTAGAGGGACTAATATATAGTAGGTAAGCCTAGCGCTAGCTAGGGGTCCCCTAGCTGTTATTACTAGGTGCTAGGCGTCTAGGCCCTTTAGGGTTAATATAACCTTATGCTCTAGCGTATAGTTACTAGCGCTAGTATATATAGGCCTAAAGTAACTTAAGACGCGTTATATTAGAAGGGGGGTAATTATAAGGGGTTAGCCTAGTTACCCTTTATAAGGCTATATATAGTGTATTTTAGGCACTTAGTGCTAAAACTAATTAATCTTTTAGTAATACTAGAATAGTCTATTAATAGGTGTAGCATACTACCTATACCTTAATAAAAAGTTTTAGATATATATAGCTTACTATAATATATAGCTTACTATATAGGTATATTATATAAAGTATAAGCTAATTACTATCTAAATATATTATATTAATAATAATTTAATAGATTAATTAATAGTTATTATATAATATAAATATAAAATAACTAGGTGCTTTTATATTAAGTTAGTAGTAATAGTAGTACTTACTAATCTTTTAAGCTTAGTAAGAGAGGTTAATTTACTAGCCTACTTAAGAAGCTTATAAAGATAATTTACTAATAAGTAGCTAAATCTATAGTAAATCTAGTGTAATTTATAATCTATTAGGTGTTACCTTATAATAGTACTTTTATATAGTTCTAAAAATATCTATATATAGCTTTATCTTTAGGGAATAAGTATAATAATCTTATTCTTAATAAGCTAGTTAGTAAGATTATTAAACTTTATACTATAGTAATTTATATTTAATAAGTAAACAAGAAATAAAGTATTACTTATTATTATATAGAAAATAAGCTTACTAATTAGTATAAGTATATAGATTATACTAAGGGATTTATAATAAATATTACTAGTAAAGTAAATTATTACTTTACTAGTATAAGTAGTATTTAATAAGATCCCCTTAACAAGGTATTTTTTAAAGGTAAAGTATTATTATTAGCTAGCTATAAATACCTTAGCTATACTAGTATTAAGTATAATACCTTAAAATATTAATATTAAGTAGTAGTTATTAAATATAAAGATATTAGTACTTTTTATAGTTATTTTAAGTAGTACCTCTTTATAAAAATTCTTGTAAATAATAATATAAAAAGTTACTTAGTTATAATATATATATATAGTAAGTAATATATTATAGTAAGTAATATATATCTACCTACTTTTCTATTATTTTAATAAAATAATTTAACTATATTATATAAAATTAATTAAAAATATATATTACTATTACTTTTACTAGGTTAGTAATATAGTTAACTATACGTATTTATAAGATATTTAGCTATAGGCACTTCCCTAGGTAGGGCTTAATAGTAGGTATTAGTGTATTATAAG